GAAGTGTTCAAAGAAGACCTGCAAGGAGACTATGCACACTTCCCAACAGTGAAGGAACAGGTTCAGGGACAGAGAGATGTGTCCTCTTTTGTTGACTTTGTTGATAAGCTGATTGAAAACTTCAGCAAACGTTTTGATAGCTTCAGCTTTGGACAGCAGCTCACCATGTTCATAAAGAACCCATTTGCCATCACTGATGTCAGAGGGTTCTCAAAGGAAGTCACACAGCACTTCAAGTGGGCAAATGCTGGGCCTCTTCAAATGCAACTAATTGATCTCCAAGCAGATGTGGCCCTGAAAGAGCAGTTTGGAAGAACTGAACCTGCCATGTTTGGCTCCACATACAGCTGTGAGGCAGCTTTCTCCAAAATGAACATAATAAAAACTAAATATCGTTCCAGGATCACCAATGAGCACCTACACATGTGTATGAGAATGGCCCTGACACCATTCCAGCCCAGATTTAAAATCCTAGTAGAGCGAACTAAAGCTCAGTTCTCTCACTGAACAACAGAAAGTTGGGACGTGGAATATAAGGGGGAAAGAAAGAGAAACTGTAAATTGTTAAAATGTTTTGAGGTTATCTGTTGAAAATGTATTGAGACTGTTTAGTCGAGATGTAAAATGTAAAGAAAAAGGGAAACTTTTTTTTTCTGAAATTAAGCACTTTTAAGATGCACAATTTAGCCATTTTATTTATTTTCTCTAATTCATTTTAAACAGCAGCCCTATTTCTAATGTAGGCCTACTGTGTGTTTCAGTGTTAACAATAAATTTTGTTGAAATGTTTTAACTTGTATTTTCATTGATTTGACAGTCTATTGTTCATACGTTCAGATATAAATAAAAATTTTAAAAAAAAGGTTGCTTCTCTATCACAATCATAACGTAAGTTAGACATTATGATGTCCCGGACCTCTGCTTGAGAAGATTTTCTCCAACTGGACCTCCTCAAATTTTAGTTTAATACCCCTGCTTTAGGGGCTCGCCCTGAAGTTCTACTTTTTTAGTCTCAGAGATGCACTGAAGGCATCCATGCTGCTTCTCATGATCTTTTGGGGTTGCTTCTGAATCCTTTCCAGCTCAAATGATCAAGAAAAAAACTACAGAGATGTTTGTACTGGTTTACTGAACACCCAGTGTCATAGCCCAAAGGCTGTTTTAAAGGTGGACAATTAATGGCAGTTAGGTAGCTTGTTCAATAGACAAGCGATTGTTTTTTTACACTTGAGATATCAAATTAAAGACAAATAAATGCAATTGCAGATAAAGGGAAATTGGCACTCTTAGCAATCCTAGCAGCCACCATCTTTATATTCATTGCCTTTAAGGTAACACCGTAAAGGAATCTAATGTAACCCAAATAATACACACATTCAGATGATCCTGAAATATGATGTAAATCAAATAGATGAAAGACTAAACAGTCCCCTTACACTTAGAATATTCTCTTTGTTGTCTGTTTCATAATTACTTAGCCTCCTGGGTGTGTCCAACAGTTTGACAGTTATGATGTACTGTGACAGGTGTGGCATGGTCAGAAAAGGTGAGGTTTTTAAACTTGTGTTTCTTTCTGGACCTGTAGATCTTCCACCAGCCTCCAGATCCCAATGTGCCTCTGCCCCAGCCCCAGAGTCGACCTGGCTCTCGCAGGAGCAGGGCCATCTGTCTGTCCACCGGGCCCCGAAAACCCCGGAGCCTCTACACTCCCACACTGTGTCTTGCAGATGCAGATAGTGAGTACCAAGGAAGTGATGAGTGTCACAATTTGTTAAACCACGCCTTTAATATCTTTTAGGAATCTTTACACGCAGTCTCCTACATTTAGGCCAGCTCTCTAAAGCTAATGAATAATATAATATCTAAACATTTTTTGTCTAAATTGCAAAGAAGCTAAAATCTTTTACTTGCTAAGCAGGTTTTAATGAGGGCCTTGTGTGCCTCGTCTCTGGTCCCTGCATAGGTGACGCTTTGAGCAGCAGTCCAGACAGCACCCCCATGGGGAGTATGGAGTCTCTGTCTTCCCATTCCTCTGAGCAAAACACCTCCTCCAAAACAGCTTCCTCTAGACAGAGGACATGTCAGGACAAGTCACTCCTGGACCTCCGCCGGACACCTTCACAGCTTTCAAATGGCCCCCAGAGTGCCGTGTTTGTCAGCAGTCCCGACTCGAGCTCCAGGGAGGACACGGGACGCACAGATGGCGAGTCAGAGGATGCTCTTAGCTCGTCCTCAGTCAGCACAACACCAAGGCTGTCTCCTGCACCCAAGAAAGCCCCACACTGTCGTGCTGACCTCAGGCCAGAGCTGCTAAACCGCTCCACGGCACCCTCTCTCAAATCATTGCATATATCCGAAGGTACGATAATCGTGAAGCGATGCCATTTGAAACGTAATTTGCAGTTATTTTGACTTAAAATCAAGTCGATCAGAATCTCATGAAAGTGAAATTTCAGGACAGAATAGATAAACTGGGTAGTTTTCACTGTTATGATTTATCCTTCAAGGGTTTTCAAAAACTGACAGTAGCTCGAGAATATTTTGTTATTTCCTGATTTATTTGGTGCAGCGTGATAGCTGTTCCTTAGTGTCTGCCTTTTGTTTCTATGTGTCATTTACGAGTTATTATTTGTATGTCGCCCTTCAGGCCACAGGAGCTGCTCTGGATCTGTCCAAAGTTTATCAACACTGGAGTCCAAAGAGAGTTTAAAGCCTACTGAGCACCCAAACCTTCCACCAAAACAAGCGATCCGCCGCAGGATGGACACTTCAGTCAGCAATGGCTACCAAAGACCTGGCTCAGTGTAAAGAGCTTTAAAAAGCAAATCATTTTTCTCATCATAAGTTAGAGTTTTAACATGTCTCCACAAAATAAATACAAGGCAAACAGGCTTTTACATATATACTTGATTTTCTTTCTCCCTTCCTCTCTGTTTGCCCTCTGAGTTTTCTGCCTCCTTCATCTGTTTACAAGCATCGAGAGGTTTCTAAGGACAGATGAGTGCGTGTTGTGAGATTTATGTCTTTTCTGCTCTGGTGGGAGAGCTGGCCTTAATTACGTTCTGCCTGCTCTCGGGTTGCCGTGACCCAGCACCAGTCTGCACTGGATCTCTTGAGATGAATAGATAGTTTGACTTGTCTTGTCTAAGAAGCCAGTCACACTTGTCTTTCAATTAGTTTTCCCGTATAGCATCCAGCTAGCTTGCCCTAGTCTCTGTTGTCCCCATGACTCTGGGGTTATGTCCAGGGTCAAGTGCGGCCTCGTTATATAGTTTAACTCAGTTTAGCTTTGTGTTAAAGCTGAGTCTGCCAGGAGGAAGGAAACCTCCCATATTGTGTGGTTAAGCCTTTCATTTCATTCTCAACAATGAAAAATGCTGGCAAGAGCAAGTAAACTAAGACAGCACTGATACATTATAATAGATAACACACAGTTACACTGTTTCATTATTTTAAAATCATCTTAATTGTCACTCATGCTTGTCTTAAATGGCATAATTACAGCTTGACATACTTTACACAATGAAGTGCACTGAACTCTATTGTTTTTTTTCCAATTGTTTTCAGGGTGGCTGCCCGAGCATTGCTTTTTGAAAATGCCTCCACCCAACAGTCTGCTCCAGTTGGAAGGTGATAAAAAATTACAACCCCAAACAAGAGTTTGACCTAATCGATCCCACGCTTATCTCCTTAAATCTGCGATTACAAAGCATATTTTTGTTGTCTTTACAGAGATGCCAAGGCAATGTATTCCTGTGAGGCAGAGCACAGTCATGAGCTCAGCTTCCCACAGGGGGCACACTTCTCAAACGGTGAGCAGAAAAAGCGCAAACACATAAGCACATTTAACTGTCTGCTTGTAAGCCGACTTTCGCTTTACAGCAAAAGTGTTCGGATTCAAGATTGCAAATGATTCGTTGAAAGGCTGATCGGAAGTGTAAATACTGTACACACAGAGGGGGTAATTTGCCTGACTTGTGCTGACAGCAAAGAGCAGGAACTTGGTGAATTTCCAGTGTTGAAATGGAAAGTTTTTGCTCTTAGCGCGACACTCCCATATACATTATGGACATCCAAACAGTGCCAAGATTTTTTTTATTGCCTCCTGCTTGTTTCCATTAAGAGATGACTTGGCCCACAAACAGTCTAGGCAGGTCACTGTAACCTAGTAATGAAAGGCACCAGTGCCGGTTTCCTCTTAGCACAGCCAGCAGAGCCAAATGCAAAAACGTCAACAAATGCTCCCCACAATTTACTAGCAGGCAGACTTTTATTGTTCTCCATTTTCTCTACATCTTAATTCAGCACATCTCTGCTAGATTGTATTTACCGGACATTTTACAGCTGTTTCCCTTTGTTTTGGTGAATCTCCGCAATAATTTAGTTTAGTTTTAATGGTTTAAACTGTTTGCGTTTCTTTCACGATGGCTAAAATTCAAATACTTCATGGGGACTGAATCTGAAGAGCAGACTAGCCCAGAGCCCTCCTCAATCTAATATTCAATAATTCTTGTAAATTATGCAGTCAAATATAGGCTCAGTGATTCAAATCAGCTTATTCCAGATCAGAAGTCTGAATCTGTTTTTTCACTGGCTCGGTATGTTTTTCTCTCTTCTGTCCTGTAGTCTACCCCTCTGTTGAACCAGGCTGGCTCCAAGCAACATACGAGGGAAAAACAGGTTTAATCCCAGAGAATTATGTTGTCTTCCTCTGACAGGTGGTAAACTTTGCATCTTTTCATGGTATCCATGGAAAACAAATCACACAATGTGCTTAAATCTCCCTATTATTATACTAATGCATATTATGCATTTTTAGCAGTTATCAAGCAGGTTAATAATTGCTTAAACAGTGCGACAAGTCCAAAGATATACCTCCCTTACTGTAATGACTATTGTGTGCTTCTGGAGAATGGACATTATTGTTAGATTTAACTATGTTGCCTGCTGGCTGCACTGAGTGACAGCGTTCACTTACAAAATCACCAAACAATATCATATCCCATTTCACACATTTTATTCTCAGAAAAATATCATATTTTAACTTCCCATTATATTAGCAAAACATATTCATCAAGAAGTTAATGAAAATCTGCTGTCTCATAAACATTTGTATTGACTGTAATTTAACAAGCTGTGATTTAAAATGAGAAGATCTATTTGAATCTAATAGAAAAAAAATGTATAATGGGTTTGCACCTTAATTTTCATGTTTTTGTACTCTGATCATTGCTCATCCACTGAATCTCCTCACTGCTGCAGTGCACTTTCTGGTTCAGTAGCTACACGGTACTGTAATGTACATTAAAGTTCGTAAGTCTTTTTCTCTGTAATTCCACATCAAAAGATATTTACTTCTAATGACATTATTATTTTTATTATTACTATACACTGCTCACAATGATATATATCACATGTTTGTTTTATAATGTTACAAATGAATGTTACGAGAAGTGTCCTTGATACACCGGTGTACTGGTAATGACAACTAGACAAGCATAGCGTTAACAAATAAAGTTCTATTTCTGTCACAGCATTTTTCTAAAGAAATGTTTCTAATTACATAAAAAGTTAACTTCATTGATACCGTTTAAGAAAAGCATAAAAGAAAAATTAACAACAAGGTCACTTTGAAGTAAAGGGTTCTCTGGCTAGCCAAATTGTTTCTGGGAGTGCATTTTTAGTTTCGCTGTTGCCAAGATCAGGATGTTCTTTTCTTTTCCTTTTACATGTTAGGAATGCAAAGCGGCCTTGAACAGCGATGCCGGACTTGTACTCCCTTAGAGTCTGAATTTGCAGGGGCAAGTTATATCATTGAAATGATATTCATATCCCAAATATGTAACATTTGGCATCCTTTTATATACTGGAAGTTTGATGCCTTGGAGACATCTACTGTATCCTGACAGTGCATAAACATGTCTATAAATAAACTTAAGCATGATAGACCAGTTGTCCAAATTTCTTTGCTATAGTTAGTGAGTGGAGATAAAGCTTTGTAGCAGTAAAGTTCTCCTCAAGTGTTCTTCCTATCCATAAAGACATGACAATAAATTTTATTTTATTTTTTACATTTGGACCCTTTAATCTTGTCAAGCCAGTAATGTTTTACTTCAAATTTGTCGCATTTCCTGGCCAAAGAACTCAGAAGTTGCGATAACTCAGGAGAAAATGTGGTTATTTTCCTGAATGGTCTGGATTTCTTAACAGTGCAACATTAATGGTAATAAACATGTTTGCAGTTGTCACTTGCATCGCATTAAGATCCCATTATTTACATGTACATTTATGTTGATGCAGATATGGATGTAAATTAAAGCTGGTGAGCTAAGTTTTGTTAAGAAAATATGGCTCATAGGTCACTTTTCGTTCTTATAAATATTTTAAACAAAGTTATTTTAAAGGTTTCACCTTCCTTAAGTAGGTATGGTGAGTTACTATGCTGGTATCCTGTATTGATTAGCCTAAGTCACAAATTTCAATTTATTCTGCACCTTTCCTTGAAAAATGTTAGCATTTTTGTATTTATTTTTTATTTGTTTTGAATACAAAAATATCTCTAATGGTTTTCTTAAAACCTACTATGTTCAAAGCAAGTTTTATACACAACTTGTAGGAATGGAAATGGTGGATACACCTGAATAAAACATAGGAACTTTATTGATTGATGCCTCTAAATGTATAATTTTCAAGATATGTCTCTGCTAAAAACATTTTAAGAAACCTGGTTTTCCTGTTTAACCTCAAGCAAATTAGAGGCATTTTGGCAAAATGAAGGCTCTGAAGAATCCAGTAACAATGGGATGAGTAATCCAGACACAAGCTGTCTTCACAGAGCTGCAGTATCTGTGTTGGCAATGTCATTTGCTGTGGAATAAGAGGGGCCTCACCATGCCAGCAAGGACCTTGGGAAGCTGGGAGGCAATGACCTCTGACATCATCTCTGGAAACTCCACTTTCATGGCATCTGCCTGGATGAAGGTACTCAAACAGAACAGGTTGATCTTCTTTACTATCTGTTAAAAAAGAAACATCAATTTGTGTCTTGGTAGTTGTTAAAGTGGCAAAAATATATATACGGTTATACTGAGCTCTGTGGGGGAGCCTACATCATGAATGGCATCCATGAGTTTGGTGAGGTGGTAGAATCGCTGGGAACTTGCCACGATGCCCTTCTCCTTCATTTGAATAGCCTTGGTCAGCTCCCGGATGTAGTTTTGTCTCATTTCATCAAATGCTGCCTGACTTTTTAATCCTTCAAGAGGCACTAAGTGCAGAGAAGATATTTGCATATTTAAAATTGCACTAAACATTTCAAAACGGTATTGTTAGAAGAAGTAAAGAAATACTGGGGAGATGTTATGCAAGTACCAGCCAGCAATGATTTTAAAGGTAAATGCCGTTAGTAAAACTAGGATTGATAGCAGTTGCTACATAAATCTTGTCAAGATGCACACTGCTTTTATAAAAATGTCTTTATTGTGCAGTGCAGCTGTAACTGATCATAGCTTAGTTTGTAAGTCTCCTTAACAGCGTAAAATAGGGCCGTGCGATATGACCAAAATCTCTGATTCAGTTTATTTTGAAAAGTCTCAACGGGATCTTGAGCTTTATTGTGAAAGTTTTAGGTCGAAATAACGACAACGCATAAAAACAAGCGCTTGTCTGTCTGTAGTGTGGTTATATTAAATATAAGAGAAAGAGAGAACTTTAAGAAATTAATATAGCCACTACAGTGACCATCAAAATAATGAAAAAATATTGCCGTAAACAGTTTATTTTGTGACACCACGAAACAAACGATAGCGTAAAATGCAACGATAGACGTTTTTATATCGTCATTCCGATATATATGGTTATATCGAACAGCCCTAGCATAACAGTCTTACCTGTGTTGAGCAATATTATGGCTTTCATGCAAAGAAACTCTTCGCGTGTAACTTGAAGATTTGCAAACTCCTGAGGAATAAACTGTATCGCTAGACAGAGGTCGTAAATTGGAGATCTCCTCATTTGCTCCCTAATGGACAAAAGCACAAAATGGTTTACGTCTCTGGATAACCAGTAGACTCTTTCTCTACTGAAATCACTAACTTATGGATAAAAGAGTTCATGAATCATCACCAACCGAAAGCCATCTTCAATTGCCGATGACTGTGGTTACTTACTGGCTAAGAACCAGATCAGGTGCAAAGTACAAATGTTCACCGGTGACATTCTGAAAGGAGCGCCACCCAAGAGAGAACACCATCATGTTCATCCACGAGTACTGGATGAGTGTCATCTGATCATTGATGTGTAGATTACGAAAACCTAAAAAAAAGAAAAAGAAGAACATTTCATTCATAACATTTCTTCTCGTATATATATGGTTTTCCAGTAACAGTAACATTTTTGTCTCAGTAGGTGTTTACAGTCATGTTAAACTATATTAAAATTTCCTGTCAAACACTTGACTCGGTGACAATATTCAAGGCATTACAAAGTCTTCTATCTTGGCGTTTAGGACTTTAGACTTCCAACAAGGCCCGCCACTAGATCCCCATGACAACAACTGTGATGGCCCTGAGATGCAGAAAGCTGTTACCTGGGAGAGATTTTGACCACTTCACAATCCACATCAGCTGTTTCTCACACAGCCTGTTGAGACTGGTGAGCAGAAGATGGGGAGCATCAGCCTGGGAGCTGTCATGACCAGAGTACACCATCTCTGGTTCGATGTTTTCAAGGATGTTGAGCATTTGTTGGGAGACTTGTAGCTCATGAATGCCTGGTATGTAAGACATGGGAGTCAAGGCTTGGCTGTCACCGGGCATGGTCATGTGGGACCGGAACATCAGAGATGGGGTCAAACCTGTGTCTTTCAAGGCCCCAAAGCGCTTCAGTTTCCTCCCTGTGACGTGAACATAAGTTCTGGTTTGATCTAATGGGAAACCACTAAATTCGTGCCAATAAGACATTTGAAAGAGTAAAATATCCTGAGGGGTTTTTTGTTGTTTTTTTGAGTCATGATTTTCTTTTTAATCTAAACATGCAGAATATTCTCTTTGGTTTTAATCATGGTTTCTTGGGACTACATGATAAATAAAACCAAATGATACCTCCAAGCATCATTCCTGCTTGATAGCACTTTCGAAGGCGACACGCAGGGCAATTTTTTCTCCGAATTTTGTCCACAATGCAGTCATTCCGCCCAGCACAGAGATAGCTGTGATGGCCTGTTGAATGAATAGGTACAGACAATGCAAAACATTTTTAGCAGTTCTCCATTCCAAATATGTAGGAAACGGGAGAGGTCTTTAATAAGAAGAGAATGTGTTGAAGAGTTCTTGACTATTAGCATGAATACTCTACTCCACGCTGAGGCAGCACTCTGGCAGAAAATTAGATAGAGGCAAGGCTGTGAGGACAGAGTGACATGGCCACGGTGAGACATAGTGGCTCTAATATATCTCACATTGAAAGATAACAGGAGAAAAAAAAAACTCCAAGTGGAAGAACAGGATGTACACTAGTAACTGTGATACTGTTGCTAATAACCTTTAACAACTACCACAAAAGGTCATTATTATTCTTTTAACTTGGTTTTAGGAAAAATTTATAAAGATTAACATAGAAAATACATGTCTAAGCACTAAGAGAGATTTTTCATTTGTCTAAATATCGCAGTATTACGTTAGTAGTACATTGTGCAGCATTTTAAATGAGGGACATGAGGACAGAATCAAAAGAAAGAAAAAGACAGTAAGGAGTAAAGCAGTGAAAACTATATATATATATATATATATATATATATATATATAAATATATATATATATATATATATATATATATATATATATATATATATATATATATATATATATATATATGATTCATACACACACACGCACACACATATACACACACACACACTGTGGTTATTTTGACATTTGTTAAAGATTTTCTTTGCTCACCTTCAACCGCTCTTTTAAAAAATACTTTACAGCTCCCACACGTTAAGACTCCATAGTGGCAGCCAGATGCCTCATCACTACAGATCATACACAGTCTCTGGGGTGGCATACTGGGGGGGGGAAGTAAATATATGTGAAGAGAAAAAATATTCAGACAAAGACTACTGAGCGCTGTGGACTCCGCACTAGATAAAATATTTTTTGTTACATTCAGAAATACCTAGAAAACCGTTAGTCGTTGTAAAATGATAAAGTATGTGTTGACAGTTGTGTAATTAATTAGGCTACTCTTTGATCCTCGAGTTACACGTGCCAACATTCACACCTATCCAAACTGTGTTAAAAGTTTTGCGACACTGTTATGATTAATATAATTAAGATTCTGTCGGCAGTTATCACGCTGAGTAGTAGTTACCCGGGGAATGTGGAGAAAGGAGCTGGGTTCCTCTGAGGAAGAGTCTGGGTCTGGTTCTGCATCACATTGTAGCCACTAGTTCTGAACGGGTCCTCGTTTACCCCCGCCGACTGTCCCCAATACTGGGTCTCACCTGGAGATGCTTGCATCTGCCAACGAGGAACATCAGTCTTATATATCGACAATTGCCCAGCTGTTTGCGCGTTGGGATCGAAACTTGTCGATTCACCTTTGCTAAGCCCTAAGTGCTGCTTCCTGTCGGTGTCAGAACAGGTATCGAGAGCGGAAATCTCGAGTGATGGATCAAAGTTGTGACAGGGGATGTCCATAATCACAGAAGGCTCCTTTTCATCTTTGATGAACTTGCAAGCCCCGGAGGTAGAGGGGAGACCTGCGCCTGGTAAACTTTCGGATGCGGCCACGTTTGTCCTCTGAAGTTTAACAAAATCCTCCCACGGAACACCATCACATTTAAGATAGTCTCTGTTACGGTCATAAAAATGTTTTGCTCCAAGTGAAGGATCGACTGTGTTACAGTCTTTAAAAACTGCGCAGTCAGGGCTTGAATTAAGACCTTGGATCAGTGTGTTAACGTTTCCAAAATTACGCACAGAGGACATGCAATTTAGAAACCGTGAATCGGCCGGCAATTTTGTATTCGACCTACTGTATCCAGCTTCAATCACGTCACTTAGGCTTGTTTCGATGGAATCAGCGACCGAAGTACTGTTGGTGCCCATCTTCCCGTTTGTTTTATTCTCCATTTTGTGAACCTCTAAGCGCACAACAGAGAGTGGAGGGCGCTCGGAGGTTGGAAGGTGTATGATAAGCTGTGATTTGGTAACCTTCCTGTAGTCCTCCTCCCCGTGGAAAAAGGCAGTCACTTGTCTTTCTTTCACACGAGGTCTATTCCATTAATATATATCTATATTTTTTTCACTTCACAAATAAAATGAAGTTTTGGCCAATGTTGATGAGAGCGCAACTACGACCCCCAGTCGATAATCTCGGCAGATTTATAAGCATAACCTTGTGCTGGTAGTAGTCATCTTTAAAAGTCACATCGATTGTTTTTATTCTTGTTTCACATATTCGTAGTATTCCTCATTCTGACTATAACGGTCCTCCAAAGGTTGCCAGGGGAAGAATCCAAGACAAGACATCTATATGGTTGCACTGCGCTCACACCAGACTTAAACAATAGACCAAAGAGGAGAATCAACAGTGCATCACTTCAATGCCAATGGTCTTTTGTCTCCGCCCTACAGTTCATGAATCAAGTAAAATATGGGGAAGGCATTATTACCAAAGGAGAAAGTACTATAAACTCTTATCGCCATCGGAAAGACGAAGATAAACCCCAGTAACTCGCAAAATGGATAATCATTTTCAACATCACCCTTGTGATTTCTGCTAAATCACAAACTTTTGTCTGTTTTATAAGTTTTCTTCAAAGGAATATTTTTTATAACTTTAATTGACTGTTTCCTTTTTCATATTTAATAGATTTCATAGTGCTCGGAAACTAACCCTGCGTTTAAGCATCATCATTTTACTGTAGACAGATGAATATATAAAAAGACTTTGATAAAGTGAAGACTATCACCCATGTGGCCATCTAATGGCTACTGTTTATAAAATTGCCCTTTACCTTGAATTACTTTTTTGTTTTATCTTTAGCCTCAACCTTGTTAGATATTATAGAGGGTTTTATTTTTAAAGGAAATGTGAATGTTGCTGATGCATGTCGTTATTATTCACACAACGACCTTGGCCCCTATCTCCTGCGTCATGTTTTTGACAACATCAGAAACAATTCTCATGCTGTAATTGTTCTTCATATCTCCATAATGTGTTCTTTAATGTGCTGCAATGGCCTAGTTTTCTCACAAGTTTTTAAACTTTAAATATAGCTCCCATTGACCACCAACAGGCTTCGAAAAATCCTCTCATTTAATCAAATTTCGAATATTTCAGACACATGGGTAAATTTCCTCGGGATGTTAATGTTATAGATTCTTCTGGTGGTAATTGTATCAGTTTCGCTGTTTTATAACAGCCATGTTATAAAACTTGGTGTAAATGCTTCACAGCTGCATTATTCACAGGCTTGGCAGTTAAAGCCTGTTTGTAGCTTTTAGTCTTTCTGCCTCATATGGAGGCGAGCTGGATGTCTACATGACAGGTCACACTGTTCTCAGATATTTTGCCTAACACCAAGCACGAGAGAGCACAACAGCATGTGGTGCAATGATTTTAAAAACGCATAATCTCTCATGGGATGAAGATAACCCGCAGTAACTTTAATAACATTAAATAAACATTATACTCGGGTAATTAATATTTTGACAAAGAACAACATTTAAGAAAAAAGTTTTATAGAGTTTTGAACATCAAGCCTGGAGTTGTATTGATTAACTGAAGTTACATTAAAGAAAAAGTAACTACTTTCCTCCAGCTACACTGAGCGCAGTTATCAGAAAGAAGCTTAATTGAGTGTTGCGACTGAGACAATCAAACATATCTTTCTGTTTTATCTGAACCGCTTTCTGGTTTTCAGCACCAGGTGAATTACCTCCAAAACAAATCATGCAGATGACAGCAGTCAACTCAGAACTGTAGCCTAGTCAAAGCAACAGGAAAAGTTACATTACAGTTCCTTTATTGTAGCAATAAGCAAACTGTTCAGACACAGGCACGGAAAAAAAATCAAAAGACAAACAAATTAATAAGTTTACACAATGGAGAAAATGGAGGAATTTTTTTTTATAATGAATACAAAATATGTAGTTTTATCAGCTAAGTTGTGTCTGAAAGTTGTGTGTTAAGTCTGTGTCACAGAAACATTCGGCCTTGACTGAATCCCTCATTAATGAGAACGATGGAGTGTGTCCAGTAAATACATTTCTAATCTTTATTGTTTTTAAGAAACCATATCCAGTGTATGCTTCTGCTCTTCTTTCTGCTTCGCATGCATTACTTCTTCCAGCTGCCTCATGAGCTCTGTTAGTGTCTTCTTATCGTGCTTCTCCCTTTCCAGGAGCTCAAAGCGAAGACTGGAGATGTCATGTTTGATCTCTTTCAGTTCACCTGAGGAACAGCAAGTGAAAAGGATAAAATTGTGTTTTTTATGTGATCCTAGCATGAAAAGTAGCTCAGAAGAACTTACCTTCATTCACTTCATTGTTATCTTTATCCCTCTGTGCTTTTAAGATGTATCTTTTAATGAGACAATTCATTATTTTCTGTAATAAAGTAACAAAGTCATGATTATAGTTTTATTCTGCTCTGCTAATTATTTCCCTCACACAAGACACAATTTGGACTATTTGGACTGACATGTTATGGGTCCTTATGTGTATATACAGCAAATTTATTTTATGCCTTATACTGTTTCATAGGTATGATTCCATAGATGACACCAAAATAAATGACAAACTTTGCACTTTTTATGTGCACTTGTTTATGTATGCAAAACCTTAATCAGGAAAGACAATTTACTGAAAGCTCCTTTATTAAGCAGTTATTGGAGATTTAAAAAAGCTTTACTTGATGACGGGTTGGACAAAGAGATGTTTCCCCAGCCAGATCGTCCTGTCGTCTTAACTAAGCCAAAAACAACCAAAAGAAGAAGGTGTTAACATAGGTACTTACAACCCCAAGCTGTACCTATTAATGTGACAAAAGAAGGCCCTGAGGCCCGCTGAGATGATATATATTCCAACTAGTACATTCAACAAAATTGAAAATTCCTTGATTAAAATGTTGTTTCATCAAACGACACTGGTGGTGCCTCACATTGTTAAGCTCCATCTCATTGCGTGATTTTTTTGTGTGTCTGCCGGGAGGTACATTCCAGATGAAATCCTTTATACTCAGCAATAGACAAGATACTGATTTTGGGCAGGGCACAAGATTGAAGGGCACAGGCAGTGTGCCACTATGGTTAAAGTAAGAGAACCAGAGTTTAGCTCTTGCAAATTTCCACTCGACATCTGCATCATCCTGCAGCAAAAAAAAACAAAAACAAAAAAGATGGAAATTTAAAACGCTGATAAATTTGGCAATCGGGCTTAAGATATAGTACCAGTCAAATCAGTTCTAAATTAGAAATATCAGTGATGAAGTTGTACCTCAATTTCTTGGAAAGAGCTGTTAAACATAGCAATGAGCATATTCAGCAAGACGACCACCATGATGATGTTGTACACCCCGTACAGAACGTAGCCTACATTCTCAATGAACTTATGGTTGATGTCAATCACCACTGATTTCACTTCTGACAGCCCAAAGATGGCCCAAAATAATGTTTTAAAACTCTCTTCAAGCCTGGAGTAATACAGAAATCAGAATTTAGTATAGTTCAACCATTGTGCCATATTTATTAGACACGTTTTGTGTGTAAAGGAAACATTTGATCATATTTTTCTAAAAACGGCGTTTTTGAAGTCGTTTGACACTTACGTTGTAAAGGCATCGTTGTGTTTGGCTCCAAGGTAGTATGAGTACAGATTGAACATTCCTACCATGAAAGCCACAAACACTGTTACGAACACCACCATGAATTTAAATATGTCTTTCACCGTCCTTCCCAGAGAGATCTGCAAAGGCCCGAAGCGCTCGTTGGCGGGCAGGATGTACGCAATGCGGGAGAAACTAAGCACAACGGCAATTGCGTAAAGGCCTTCGGAAATAAGCTGCGGGTCTGAGGGCATCCAGTGGATTCGAGCTAGGAAAAAAGAGAGAGAGAGAGATGCTGCATGTAAGAACAGGTTTTATGATCTAAACTTTGTGTCTGTTAATATTATTACTTGTGTTAAGATTTATAAATCAAATACCAATAAAGATCATTTTTCATTTTAATGATGAATTTTAAAAAATTAATTGGGCTATGAAGATAACACCTAAAAGTTTGTTTGTCTCTTTGTCCAGTGCAACATTAGAACAAAATTAAAATCTAAGACCAGCAACCTTTTATTTTAACAATGTAAACAAATATTGAATCCTTACCCATAATACCAATAACACTTGAATTTTTTTGGTCTACACTTACCAAGCTGGAAATACTGTATTTCAAAGGGCAACGTCATGTTGGACAGGCTAGTATGGTGCTTGTCAATATAACACTGGGCTGAATATGCATGCCAAAAAGCCATTAATCTGGCAGTGAAAGACGTCATAAAAATGGTGAGGATGCTAAAGTCTAGAAGGTTCCAGGGTTCTGATATGTACTCCCGGATGTCCTGGGACCAAATGTTGTTACATTCTTCCCAGATCTTCCCTGTGGAGAAAAAAAAAAGTGATTGGCAGTCCCATTTTTGCTCTCTTATATGAAATAGTGTAATAAAATCTTATCATGTACAAACAGTATTACTAAGATTTGGATAGTATTTACATCACATAGGAATTTTTATTGCTGTTACTGGTAAATCATGTTTGACATGGCTTCAAAGTCTGGTCTGTAGTTTGAGATTTTCTTGGTGAATGTGGGCAATTTGTATCATAGCAGATGTGTGAAGATTAATAAATCTTGAATGATTTTGATGTTTTTACCCTGACATGCACAGCAGTGTAATATTATGAGGACCCTGACTAAAATAATGAGAAATCCATAAGTATATTGGTGAGGGACAAAGTGTGTTTACGCTTATGACCTATGACCCAAGATATGATGAGAATTTCCATCCAGGTGAAGGGCGTGGTCTTCATACGAAAAAGCTGTGAAGGGTAATCATGGATGGTCATGTTGGGCAGCAGTGAAGTTCCCTCAAAGCGGTCTGCTGCATTCAGGACCAGTAGGCAAAGAAATATCATGAAGGAAGCTGCATGCGCCACAAACTTCAGGAAAGGGCTGCCCATAAGTTTCCCAAACTGAAGCGAGAGACAACAAACAGAACAAAACCTAAAATCACTTTTTTTTTTTTTACATATTTCAGTGATATATTTTATACATCAAAAGATACATGGCAGTGCTTAAGCCAGTCATAAAAACTGAAACATTGATGATGAGAAAAACTTCACAGGAAACTAAAAAAGTCAGCGCAATCCTACATTACAGCTTTGTTAACTTAGTGTTACCAGAATTTGGCAATTTAAAGTTCAGCAGGCATAATGCAACATTTGTATGGCAGGTTATTAGGTTATGTGCAACTTTTTTTGTAAACTAACCTTACTTGATGGTGCTATCCAGTAAATAAAAGCCAGTATAGGCAACCCAAGAGCTACGCCGAGAACAAGAAGAATCTTAACTGCTGTTGTTTGCTGGTGGAGTCGAGATAGGTTTTCATACCAGATGGAAAGGAGTTGCTGTTGGCAGTTTGGATGTGCCACAAACTGCCTCATTTGAGTTTAAAGGTATGTGTTTTTTGCGTGTGTGCATGTGTGTGTTCATGCAAGACAAAGACAGACAGACAGAGACAGGAAGAGAAAAGGATTACTTTACACACTTTACATATTCAAACATGAGGTTGATGAAGGATGCAAGATTGATTAAAAAAAAAAAAGTTAAAGAGTGCTCATGTGCTTACCTTCTTAACCTCATATTTTATTGCAAGTTTTAACCTAATCAGGTTTTGTCTGTTCGTGGTGTCTGAGCTACGATATGATTCTTTGTCCCCATTTAAAATAGCCTCCACTTCCTCTGTGTTTCGACACAAATCCAGGAGCCCCACCACAAAGTCTTTACACTGCATTGACAGGTTCTTATAATCATTCTGTAACAGAGAACAGCAGCATATGCACTGTGAATGAGTGAAGCACATAAACAGACTGGCAAAAACATCAATATGCATCCTGAGTGAACACTGTAATTACTGTACCTTGAACTCTTTCTCGGTGTTGGCCAGAACTGCAAGCTCATTGCTCAGTTCCAGCGCTGCCATCACAGGATCTTCACTGGAGAGACAGAGATATGCCGGGCTGGCTAGACCTTTATATGCATTGATGCGGGACTGTGAATGGCTGAAAGAGTCATGCCTCCGCTGCTCACTACAGGTCTTGCACTGACAGTAGTAGTCATGGGGTCTTTCTATCCTGGCTCCCTTAAGAAGAAGTATATGCACTATTTCATACTCTTGGCACTGGCAAGCCAGAATGATGGGAGTGATGTCATGAGAGAACCGTGTCCCATCCTCATCATAGGAGAAAAAGTCATCATGCATCTCTGCCTGGCTGGGGCTGTTAGTCAGCCTTTGACTGTCTGCAAAAGCCTCGTGGTTCAGTATGGCCTCTACTATGCGAATGTAACCTTTACTGATGGCTAACAGCAAAGCATCTCCTATTCTGGCGAGGTCTTTCTTCTTTAGAAGAAGTCTGGTAAGTTCTAGATGCTCATTGGCAACAGCCAGCTGCAGTGCATTCTGTCCCATGTAGTTGACACAGTTAACATTGAGCTCTGGCAGCTCTTCCAACATCCGCCTCACTTCAGGGATATTGCCATATTCTGCAGCTTCTAAAAAAACTTCCTCCTTCATAGAAAGGCAAGAGGAAGAGTGAGGATGAAATGGGTAACCGGCCCCCCAAAAAGCTTGTCTCCGGGGTTTGACCACAATTTGTCTTAGCATCGTGGCTTTCTCTTCATTGCTCCATCTAAAAACAGGTAAGTGTATTTAGTCATATGATCTTTAACACAGGGTTACAATCACATTTTAGGTTTGTAAAATTATTTCTGTAAGACAAAATAGAACTACCTTTTCAGCTGGTAATCCCTCCTTTGCTAAGGTAAGATTAATAATTTCTCTCGAGGAAGATAAACAAATATTCTATTGCTTTAAAGGATAATTTTTACCTTATATCACAAAAAGGGCTGGACAATGAGACAGCAGTGATCCAACCAGTGACTGAACAACAGTGTGCACAGTGGGTCTCTGCTGATTTATAACTCACACTAAATGTGTGACACCACCCACAGATTCATCATCTGCTCTCCTTCATTTCATGGGAGGACACTGACCATTCAGCCTCTGCTGGATTCACATGTCTTTTTAATTTAGTTACTGTTGAATAATCCAAAATAGACTATACATAACACCACTTGCTGATCATGGAAAACTTAGAACGTGTTACGTCTTAACCACAGACATTAAGCTGAGGTCATACCTGATGACAGTGACTATTTTTATTGCTAATTAAATCGCCATTTTTAAAAGAGAAAATCAACTTTCTGCTCACTAATTACATTTGAATAACAAGGTTATCTGAGGAGCCAATTGCTTCAGCACAAATAACCACCATGATGACAGAAGTTGACGATGTCCAGTGTATTCAGTCATAATTAGTGACATTAGTAACAAGATTTTAAGTAACTGAGCAATCCGTTAAATGCATGCAATACATGCAGAATTTGTTCTGATAGAGGGGCAGATCGTTTATATTTGCGAATACAATATAAACTGAATATGTATCCTGCTGTTAGGCCAGGGAAGGTGAAAAAAATCCTTATTTAAACCGAAGTGGTTTAAATAAGGATTTAATAAGTGAAGATCAAAATAATATTTGAAACATATTTTCTGGTGAACTTTGTTTCCCTTCCTATATCATCTAAAGAGCTAGATGGAGAAAACAAATGAAATGAAAGATTTCTGTAGCATCGTAAAAGTAGCAATAACATCGATATTATGGAAATATAACAATATCATTATCTGTCATATATATATATATGTAGAGAGAGAGAGATTTAAAGGGAAAAAAACACGCGCTTCACTAACCTTGGGAAATACTGCTCCATCAGATGATTTATTAATTGTTTAATCTTTATGACCCAAATCTGCTTCGGTCATCGAGCTCATCCTGTAGCCTCTGGACCTTCTGTCAGAGTGGCTCTAACCCTGCGTCCAGTGTTGACTCTTGAAGCTTACAGTGCTGCATTTGCACGCCCAAAGGGCGTTTTTCCTTTAGAATTTCCTTTGAAATATGGGTATTGGTGTGGGTATTATATTTATCTATTATTTACTTTATTTTCAATCAATCTTCCCGTAAGCCCCCTAAAGCAAGATATTAAAGCACTTTGACAAACTGGGACTTTGGATCAGCAGAATCGCTCCAGCATAACAGGTTGTGACTTAAACTGTAGCCGAGGGCAAAGGGATTATATGTAATTACCCGAGTGCAGGATAGCAGCAATATCATCACTATACCCATATACAGTGTTTGACAAAGTAAGAGATAAAGCAGCGGCCCACTCATCCATAAAATGGCATACACAATCTGGAAAAAGCAGATTTTCAATAATCCTCTTAACTTCTGTTTTTATTAAAGATAAAAAGTAATACCAGCCCATCCTCGTATTTTACAAGCCCTCCTCTAAGAGTAGATATAAAAGCTGAGTAAAAACATTTTAACTATCCCACAGAAAGTTTTTAACATTAAAATGTGGATACCTTTAATTTCCAAATGTGCCTGAAGGCGACATGCACGTCTGGAGGAGTCCTGCGCCCTCTGCTGGACATAAGAAAAACAATCACCTCTCTTGGTTGCCAAGGAGTCGCGTCCTCGGTCGCTATCATGGAGCAAGCGTACACAAACACGGCTGTGGACGTATCAACTTATTCGGATTTTTGTTCTCACTCTTTTACACAAGACAATGAGGCTGTTACTGGTCAGGGGAGGTCGCAACGATGTGGACATTTACGCTACAAGTTTCACTTCGCCCTGAAAATGGTTGAGTGACTTAATCCGGCGTACTGCCGACGTTAGCTAAAAAGGACAAGTTAGCAGCTGCTAGCCGATTGAACCTGTACGTCTGCTCGGTGTCAGCGAAGATCAGCAGCCTCAGAGGATGCAAGTTCCACAAGATCACTTCTTCTACCATTCGTATCCTACATGCATGAAGTTATTTGTGTTATAGAAATGTGTGTCGTGCACCCACGCTCGTTTTAAAACAAATGTAGAGTTCGGTAATGACCCAACTTGAAACTTTATTCGACCTGCTTGTATAATTCACGAGAACTTAATCATTACTGATTATTACTTTTACGCGACACATATCCTCTGACTACCATCAACAACTGCTCTCCTCAGCTGATGACTACCAGATATTCGAGGTTGAGAGATCATGCAAGTCTCGAGAAGGAGAGACGGCTTTTGGTTGAAGAGCAGAAGATATGCAAATCCCGAGCACGCAAATTCTCCCTGGAAACCAACCGACGCAGAAAGTCAGTTGTCAAATGAATATATATTATTTTTATTGTTGGACTAACAGCAAAGTTTCATCTAAACAACACACTTCTGTCCGATTTCTATAACCTATAACGCTCCCATACCCATTTAGAGAAATATGTGCAGCCCATTTAATTTTGCTGGTGTTCAGAATGGGCCTCTGGTTCTGTCCTTGACTTTGATACTTTATAGGATCAACTGTGCAGACAGGATTTCACAATGTAGACCTGGAAATAGATCTATGTTTCCAGAGAGGTGATTAAAGCTTGACTTCTTTGAATGCTTAAAGCTGCAAAGTTTATCCCGATGAGGTTCAGATCCCTTGCACCTTCTAAATATGTGTTTCCATAATTGGGACCTGACGCTGAGAGGTCCTGTTTTTAAACCTAGTGCACTAAAAGCATGTTATAGCAAGGATGGCTGTAGGCAATGGTCAGGCTTATTGCGTAACATCAGAACAAGGCGTAACCCAAGAACAAGAGGAACCCCACAAATTAGATTTGTTCCTTTAATGGAGGGGCAAATTAAACTGTGGATAAGCTTACCCATAAACATTACATAGATTGCATGAAATACTATATCTTCACTTACAGTAATACATTTCAGTTTTATTTTTAGACAGCAGAATTGCAATCTTTAACATGATTTTTCACACGTAAAAAAGGCAGCATAATTAGGCACAATGTTGCACATTTAAAGGACAGGTGTAACTCCAGTTCATGTATAGTTTAATGACACATTTTCAAAAATGAATTTTCAGCTACTATAAGCCTTTGTAAATACAGTAGATAGAGGTACTTCTCATGGCTATTTAATACACTACTGCTTCTGACATTTTAAAAAGAAAACAAAGTGGAATTTTATTTACACTATTACTGTTGTTACTGGCTTCACCAGTGAACCCAGGAGTGAATGGTGTCTTTAATTTATTAATGGCTCTGCTGAAAACATATCTCTAGGCAGGGACTCAGGTTTCTGTTTAGCCCAGACTAGATTTAATAAATTAAAATGTGCCCTAGGTTCATTCTCTTCCCTTTTTCATGGCTCAGGGCTTTGGATGAAAGACGGAAGCAGTGGGATGTGCAGGAGCAATGCCTAAGAGACCACATCCTCCAGCAACGCAGACTGCAAGTACAGGACGCAACTGAGCGTTTCCAAAGAGCACATTTACCCCCTTCTGAGAGGCGCCGACAATGTTAGTAGATTATACAGTTAGCTCCATATATATTTGGACACTGACACAAGATTTGTTCTTTACCTGTTTACTGAAAAATATTCCAGTTATAGTTGTATAATGGACATGGACGGAATGCGTAGACTCTCAGCTTTCATTTGAGGGTATTCACATTCAAGTTGGATGAAGGGTTTGGGAGTTTCAGCTCCTTAACACGTACCACCCTCTATTTCACTCAACAGTCTTGACATATTTTGGTTTATTTGTATGTTTTCCTTTGTGTCTCATAGCTTTTAAAAGAAATGTTGCAAATATTGAAGATGCACTCCATCAAATTCAAGGCACCTTGAATTCGCACACTCGGCAGTCCTCTTTCTTGTCCAGCAATATAAATGTTAATGGGTAAAAAAGAAGCAGATTTAAACTTCAACCATTATCTTACTGCATACCAAAAATAGCCAGTCACTGCTTATTTATATTCTCCTTTCTCTTTTAAAGAAGCTGCTCCCCATCTCCTAAGCCACCCACAGTTTCTAAATCCTCCCACCGCCAAGCGCTTTCTGCTGTGGAGGCCTACACAAAACTCCTCCTGGAACAGAGCAGAATAGAGAGCGAGCACGATCACAGTCCACAGGTATTTTGTTTTTGTTTGTTTTGTTTTTTTCATTTCAATGTGCAGGAAACAAAACTTTAGTGTGACAGCCCTTCTGCTTTTTTCGAGGCCACAGTTTCTTTCAGTCGGCGCTTAATTGCTGTGGAAGCTCTGAGGCTGTACTTACTGCTTGTACTGCTTCTACATTTTGGCTATATTTTTAGTAATTAAATAAAGACAGAGTGTAATATGCCATGTGTTGTAATGCCGTATTTAAATAATTGTAGAACCTGGTAAGGACCAGATTTATGATGATTTTGTTTTTCATTTTTCATTTTTTATATATATATATATACTAGCACGACTGAACGAATAATGGGCTGTTTATAATATTGGGGAAACCTACCTCAGTCACCTGAGACTGAAGAAGTCACTTGGATGAGTGTTGAAACGTTTCTCCCACTGAAAACGTCCAGATGAACAGAATCAATCTTGGGGGGATTCCACTAGGTGGCAGCATTGTAACAAACCTTTTCCTGCAGTAACAGTCCCTGTGGATGCTACAAACTGTAGCACCCTCTAGTGCAATGTGTGTATATTAATAGCTGTTTCAGAATGTATATTATTTATAACAGTCTTCATTTTCATTTTGTGAAAAAAAAAAAGATCAGTGGCAAGGACGCAGGGGAGGTCCTTGTAAGCACTGATAAGCAACAGGCATGCCTGTACAGTTGTAAAATATATTATTTTCCACTTATCAACTCCTCTCTGCTTCCATTTTCCAGGGTAGCCACCTGTCTGATTCTTGTCTTTCTGAGAGCCTTTCAAGTAAGGATAGTTTAGAAAATGAGGATTTCAACCACCTCACAAAAACTCTGCAGAGTTCCTATTCATCACTCTTGCTTGGCACAGAGAGGACCCATCAAGACCTAAGAAAGCAAAATGACTTGTGTCATCAAACATCAGACTTCTCAGCGATGATGCTTCTCGGTGATAACTTAGTCCAAGCAAATAAGCGGCATGAACCAAACCAGAAAAAACTAGATGAATCTGGATGGTGTAATAATAAGATAAATGTTTCTAAAGCCTCGTGGGAATTCACATCTATTGAACAAAGACTTAAGACAGAGATCCAGCCTGCTCTGAACAACTGTAATTTATCAGCTCATAGTGAAAATGTTAGTGCTGACCTAGAGCCCTATGAGATGAAAACTCGACAGAACAGCCCCGGTGGCAACATCATTATTGCAAATATAGCTGCTCTTGGCAACGCAGCACTCGATTCTTCCTATCCTAAACAAGAGGGCCTCTTGGCTCACAAACAGGAGAGGATCCAAGATGACAGACAATTAAAATATCCAACTACAGAAATTCCTTTGCTTGCCAAAAATAGCAACAGCAAAGACATTTTGTTTGGGGATCCCCCAAAGCCAAATATTTTCTTGTACAACAGTACAACAGACAATTTGTCAAGAGAAAGCGCTCTTCAGCAAACAGGAAAAGAAAACAGCGCTCTGTCATCTCACAAAGAATGCAGTGCTTCTACAAACAATCTCAATAAGGTTACAAACTCAGACTCCAATACTAAGAAGCCAATAAATACAAAACCCATGGAGCATACCTGCTTGTCTAATATTCAGTCAGATACGTACAAGTGTCTTGAATGTCCTGAGAAGGAAGTCGAGAAAATACCTTTGTCAATAGAGACGTCTGATTCGGTATGTGAGGTCAGATATAGTAAGGGAATTCTTAAAAAGCAGTCCAAATACATGGATTCCACTTGTGTGTATGGCTCAGGGAATTTGATTTTTGCAAAACAAGTAGCTTTAGCGATCAGGGATAGTGTTGAATTAGCACGGAGAAAAACAAGGGACCTGGGGGGCAATAACACTGTCAAAAAGAAGCTGCGTTGGTTTGATGAAGTGCATGTGGAAAAAGAGAAAGATAAACAGAACAAAATGAAAGGCAAATCCTTCAATCTCTGTCAACCAAAAAACAACTCGAACGACCACCAGCTAAGCCTTAGTGCGTTCTCAGGGACTCCCAAGACTGGACCCGGCATGACCCCTGCAGCCTCCACTGGTTATCAGTTTACAAAAGAAGCTTGGGCAGATGTTCAAGTCAACTTGCCCCAGCAACAAACCGATGAGGTCAAGGTACACCGCAACAGCATCAGAGCCAGTGCCCCCAAGGTCCCTCGGAAAGAGCACTTTGGCAGAGCGGGTCCTGTTTCCTCACGAACAAGAAAGGGCACGGTCATACGACCTCAGTCTGCCACCGAGGTTAGTCAGATTGCCAAAACCCAAGGGAAGGTCATGGTGCCACGTCCACCTCCTCGGATGGAATCTGCGGAGGAAAAGACGCCGTGCATCACCAAAATTCCATATGGCAGGGATCACGCGAGCGCCATCAACAAACGGGCCATGGCTGTTGAGCAGGTCCTGAACAAGAATGACTCAGAGGGCCATTGCTCAGCTAAAACGCATAAAGAAATAACAACAGAAAATACTGTTTTAGACACACCACTGCCACCGTCATACGCCTCCCCACTTTCAGAGGGCATTGTGACGAGCATGCCCAGTTCAAGTCATCAGGACACTCACCACTACAGAAGAAGGGGGGGGGATGCATGTAATGAAAAAGACTTCTGTTTAGATTGTACTCCCACAGATGAAGAAATTTCACAGCTCTGGCATGGCGTCCGCAGTGCCTTAACCACAAAGGATGGTAATGTATATTTTAGCTGACAGCACTACACACGGCTTAGGGTTAATTTGAGTGCCTCCAGAAATTTTAGTTGTTTTTTTTCTACCTGTTCAAGTTCATATTTTACATTTTATAATGTAAGTAGTAGCTACAGTACTTTGAGCGTAAAGAGGAACAATCTTTAATGCTAATCCAGTCCCAGGATGCTGTTTGACTGTGTTCAATAGTACAAGTATGCAGAAAATAATCTGCATGACATTTGTGAGTTTTTATGACTATTTTTAATCATTATTCCACTTTTTTATTATTTGTAGTAATAGGCTGTGCTTCAAAACATCCAACTGCTTTTTTAAACTTTAAAAACAAATTTTACATGGTGTTCCAGACAGCACAGTCTGGAATATGCTTGTTCTTGTAGTTATGATACCGGTGCATATGTTTTCTTTCAGCAAAACTGATACTGAAAGCACCAGCCCTGGAGAGAGGGCGAGTCTTAAGGAAGCCCTGTACAGAGAAAGGCAGACAGGCTCCTGGCTCAGAGAATAGAAGACTTCATCAGATCTCTCAGGTACATGCGTGCAGTTGCGTAGTTGCCCTGTGGGAGGTGTGAGAGTAGTTGGTAAAGATCAGTAAGTGGGTGTGTTTGAACTTGTTTTGCTGTTCCTTTTATGCTGTCCAAAGTGTTAATTTAATAATTAATGGTGCCAAAGACAAGCGTTAGGGATAGACATGAGTTAACGATACATTTTTTTTGTCATCACAAATAAAATAAGACTTAATTCATCTCTGGCCTGCATAAAAATTAAGGTTAATTGTAGGTCAGACTAACAGAATAAAATAGAATAGAAATCTTTGTCTTAAGCTTCCCAGACAAAGGGAACAATAACAACGAGCAGTTAGTAAAAAGCTAATAACTGATGTTGACTTAGTGACAGTTCATGTGTTGTGAGTGTGTGTTGTTTTTTGCAGCAAACAAAGCAAACAGCAAAGCTGCTCAGAACATTACCAAGCACTTACAACTCAGCCTTTCCAAATGAAGGTATTATGTTCTCTGTTTGTGTTTACATTTATTTTATAATTCAAGCAAATGTTGAATGTATTAGTTTAAAAAAAAGTTACTCTTCTGTCATGTCTTATGCTTTATAAGAGCTTTCTTAACATTTTCTTTTTTGTTTTCTAGTTTTAGGAAATATATATAATGTAACTTAAAAAACAGGGATATAGGAATTTAGAAATCTGATAGGACAGCTGCATCATGCATTAATAAGGTGAGAGTGTCTGCCTTTAATGTAATCTCAGATTTTGAGAGTGCAGCCCAGTTACACCTCGCTGAAGTGCATGCTAAAGGCCATCTGGAAGAAAAGGGTATAGTGGCTGCCATGGAGACAGTCCAAACACAGAGATCTGGAACAGTAGACCAGTACAGCCAACAGCAGGAGCTCACCAGCATTTCCTTGGAGGAGAAGAAAATTCTGCTTTGTCTGGATCGACTCAACCACCAGCTTCAATGTAAGCACTTTGTGAAGGCCGTTAAAATCAGGCCAGAATTTTTCTGACCTGTGTATAACAGAAGAGTATTAACATGATGTCGGTGCAGCGTAACCACGCCAACCTGTTACTATTTGCAGGTGTGCAGGAGCGTGTTGGGGGCAATACTAGCATGCATGGTCTTGTACTTAGTGATGCACCCTATGTAAGTGTTTAGCAGGGATTTATTTCTTTCCTCAACAGAAAGGGTGACTTTGTTGAAGATAATTCATTTCTTAACTTCTGTCTCCATTTTCAGACAAGAGAAGTGAAAGCATCAAACCATAACAAACACTGTGGATCCTCGGCTAACAATCACTCTCGATACCACCAGAAGTCCTGACTTGAAGCTTGTGTTCGCCACAGCAGTCTTGAGCCCTCGTCGGTGCACTTTATGCTGAAGCATGTTGTTGAAACAAGCACTTATTACAAAACAAGGAATTGTGTCTTTTTAAGTAACTAAGGATCTGAAATATAAACAGCCTTGAATTGCAAAGACAAAAAAAGACATATCAGCAGCCTTAGAGCACACTTAAGCTACTGACTATCAAGCAATCGAAGTCTGAAGTGCCTATTTAAATGAGAAAGGCTTTAATCTGTTTTTATGTTACAAAATGCAAAGATGCTCTTGTTTCAATCAATACATGACCAGCCCTGACTGCAAAATATACAAACACTATCAAATTGTATATGTTAAATGTTTAAAGGTGTACCATTCTGTATTTATTTTGCATAGTAACACTATGACTTGGTGGACTGTTTTGCAGCAGTTCAGCAGTGAACTGAATAAATGTTGTTGACAGTTTGCTGATAAACTCTGTGTTTGGCAGTGTTACAATCAGTGAATTGACCAAGGCCTGGAAATGGTTTATGAAAAGTTTTGCAGCGTTGAAGGTGTGTTTGTCTTTCTTTTATGGCTGTGGAAAAGATGATTATGGCTACTGGACTCAACCTACTGGCTTAACAAGCCGAGCCTCTACAGCGAGGTTTCTGCAGGTTTCTCTTCAGATTGCACCTATGCTGAATTTTATTTTTGCTTTAAGGCTTAATTTATTTAATATTGCCCTCAATCTATAGTAACATCAAAAGACAAAGCATGCTATTATTTGATACTAGTTGTTGTTTAAAGTGTATTTAATTAAAAACTTCTCTGTCTTCCTTGGCAAACAATAGGTTCATTGGGGGAAGACGCTGTAGGGATTATTGATGTGAGCTGCCCCTCCTTCTCTGGCGTGTCTGGGTTTGTCCCTCTGTCAGCCTGCTAGGACTTGTTCCAAGAGCTGAAGGAAGCCCAAGCTCATCTGAACAATGATGGGACTTTTTTTATAGCTTAACTGCAGGTTTCTTTGGTGCTCCAAGAAGGAGCTATAAACGGTAATGTGACAATGGTGTCTCATTGCCACATCGAGTCGTGCATCACCTCCTTGTTAGCTTACACCAAAACTGAGAACAGCAACAGAGGGAAACAATGTATTCATTTTTAGCATATGATTATGCCCACAACAGCAGATGCACTTTGACTCGTTACATTTGAAGAGATTCTCCAGTGAAACATACAAACTGTCCAATGTGGTTAATTGACAATGAGCGTCAGTGTTATTTCTACCCAGTGTGCATGAGACGATTATAAAGAGAAGAAAACTACTTTTATCTGAACTGATGCTGATATTTAACATATTTGAGTCCTACCTATTAACAAGAAACTCTCTAGTAATGATACTTAGACTGCCCCAATAAAAAAGGAAAAAAAAACAACATAAGCGTGCACACAAATAAACACAATCATGTAGAATAAGTGTTCGTGTTCAGATAAATCACTGAAATTCTGAATATTCTGCTGTAGGTTTGCCCTGAAATCAGTTCCGTTTGGCCTGGCACCATTATTGTTCACAGCCATTATGCTATACAATGGTGAGTGTAATGAGCTTTAAGCCTTAACCAGCACAACACCCAGAAACTGAACAAGAAAAGGCAAGAGTGCTGAAAATAAGGGGAGACATTTTCACAGATGCAAGTTCAAGCTTGTGCTTTGGTCTGTTGTGAAGCTTAAGCTGTCAAGTATTTTGTCTTCTTTTGTTACAGTCCATTTAACACGCAATGAATGAGTGTCTGGAAAAGCAATATTGCATGCAACAAAAAATGACCGAAACAAACCTTGACTTTAAAAAAAATCTGAATATCTTTTGTAATAAGACAATATGCACATGGATGGAAGGTTGGAAATTGTGTTTTACGTGTTTAGATCAAATTTGTAATGATAACAATGGTTTTAATGCTCAGAAAATGAGTGATAGCTAAGATTTATGCATAAAGCTGAAAGATTGTAGGCAATAACATAGTTGTACGTGGTTTGTTCATGTTTAAAGGAAGTCAGAAAGGAAGGGATAGACACTGCAATAGTTTGTTTATTGGGATAAATACCGATTGTACACTGCAGGGGGCGTGCGAGCCTTCCACTCACTTGACTGTAGCAACAGTGTGTCAACATATCTGTAATAGCCAAACAGAAGAGCAAAGCGCTTTACACAAAGTGGACTCATACAGCTACACTTTCGATCACAGGTTGATTCTGCTTTATAGCGGCCATATAATCGTTTCTAGTAATATCCAATCGAGAGCAGTGAGGAGGATGGAAGGCTTACAAAAAGTGACCAAACTCGGCGTGGTGGGTGGTCCTCTTGGCGCTGCCGGGACACTGCAGTCCATCTCTTTAATGTGTCTGACTGCGTTACAATGATGTGAAAATGGCCACTTTCATTGAAACAATGGACATTTTTTTGACTGGCAGCATGTGTGCAAAGACTGTTTCCTTCATTCATCGAATTAGAGCAACTTTTAAAACAATAATCAAGTATTTCACAAATATTAAAAGTTCTCTCACTGTCAGCATTTTACTAATCATTTATTAGACACATCAAAGTTTAGCAGGACAAACATGAATTCCTACCAGTATGGTGGATTACAGCGATGTTAAATGTTTCTAAGATTTTGAAGGTGCAGCATTGTTAAAAAGTATTATCTGTCCAAAAGCATGTGGGTTGAGTGTGACTCTCAGTCTGTTAAGGAGGTTTACAGTGTCTGTGGATATTTAATAGATCTTCATAATGATGCATTCATGGATGTATGGGAAAAGCTGAAACAGAGCCTCTATATCCAAAGAGGGTGGATCTTGACAAAATGATTTCTCAATGGGAGAGGGGCTTCATTAGCATAACAATTGTGGGAACTGCATGGGTCTACTTTTCATGAGCACTGTAACAAAAAAAGAGAGTGAGAGAGAGACAAAACTGTACTATTACACATAGTGATGATATTTTTTTTCTTATCTTTGCTCAGATTCTTGGGAAAGTGTTTATCTATATTTTGTCATAATGTTATAAATAAATCCTGCAAAGAAAAATGTGATCTGCCAGTGTTACTTTAGTCAGATTTTCCGTTTGCAAATGCACTTTATTGTAAGTTTTTATGAGCTTTAGTTCAATATGAATTTGATTTTCGTTTTCTTTTTGGTCCTTTATTTTCTTGTTTTTACACTAGAAAAACTTTGGTAACTTAAAAAAAAACATGTACAAACTTGTACAAGAAAATGTCACTTTATAGCATCAAATTTGAGTTTAATTTGGTTACCCTGTGTTCATCTGTGTGTATATATTTTCAGTGCATCTGCAAGTTAGTTTAATGAAACTTCCCATGTAGTAGTGTTTTTTTCTACAAGGCATCCAGATTTGGGCTAGCAAATGGGCCATAAATGGAGACCATAACTCATAAGGTCTTGCCCAGATTGTCCGGTCGAAGATTACATAAACTGTAAAGGATATTACAATTCCATTTGCTGTCGAAATAAGTAGATGTTAACGTTAAAAAGTTGTGACATGTCTTATCAAAAATGTATCTTTTGGTACATAATCTTTTACTTTTAATTTCACACTATGTTTAATTGGGGAAGGTGCCCGCTAATAAAGGGCTTGGCTTTTCCAGTCTACCTTTAAACGCTCTTGTCCCAATCGGAGCCGTAAGTCCCGCCCTATTGGTGATTACGTCACTGGCGTCATAAAGTTTGATGTCCTCTCCAAAGTTTAGATCCGACTGGGGCTAAACTTTTTTTTTTTTTCTAGAAAGTGAGCTGCGGAGATTTGTACCGCTCACTATGAGCCTTGCTTAAAAGAATATCAACAACAGCTTGGACTTGGCCCGACACTCAGAAAAAGTTGGACTCTTTCACTCAACCGTTTGTGGTGTTTTTTCGTCTTTTGTGGCTGCATCTGCGTTTTTTGGGGGGACGAGAGCATAAATTCCAATGTGGAGTTTATGCGCTTTGTTACGTTAACAAGTATGCCAGCAGGAAAAAACAGGAAAAGGCTGTCTTTCATTGCAGATTTCGACAGCTAACACACTTTGGAAGAATATCAAGTGCTCGACTTGTAAAGTTTAGAATGACTCCGAATAACTTTTACTGAGTGTCGTCGAGATTTTCAGATTTCTCCCGGCGTGGAAAAAAAGTTTGGGATTGGCTCACGTTTATTTTTTAACTTCCGAAGCCTAACTTTTTTGGGACATAAAGTTCGAAGACTGTTTTTGGGACAATGGATCCGAGCCAGCACAACCCTCCTGCCGGACACCAAATCGTCCATGTACGGGGCGACTCTGAGACTGACCTAGAGGCGCTTTTTAACGCTGTGATGAACCCGAAAGTCAATACCGTGCCCCACTCTGTGCCCATGAGGATGAGGAAACTGCCAGACTCCTTCTTCAAACCCCCAGAACCAAAGTCTCATTCCAGACAAGTAAGCCCGCCCTGGTTTTTACTGTGCCCGTACTCAGAAATCACAACTAAAAAGCAGGGCCCATCTTGTCGAGTTTCGGCCTTCAGGAGCTACGTGACTGGCACTTAGTTAATAGTTACTTCATCCTTCTCTGGTGCCATTTTTAGCCTTCAGCGTTATTGTTTTATTGGTCAGTCATCTTTGAACACACTTATTATTTTTTTAAGTCTTTAAGATATAATAACTTTATTCAGGCGGACTTGTATTGACCTGCTTAAATGAGTGTGCATTTCCATTGATGGGTTGTTTCCCCCCCTCAAACTGCATTTAATTTCCATTTAACACATTTCACAGCAAAAAAACAAAACAAAAGAGAAAAAAAACCAAACATTAAAACAGCAAAGGCCGTGAGGGCTTTATTAAACGGCGGAAACATTCTCTTGCAGTCTTTGGCCGTAAGTAACCAAGAAAACCGATGAATATTGCTTAGCTTAGAATAAATTGTGATTAGATGAGTGACAATGTAAAAATAATAAGGGATGGTTTGGTTAATAATTCATGTATAGCTATTTGCAGACGGATAACCGTCATGTTCGTATCATCTTAAATTTCCAATCCGACTTTTTTATGTAAACAACTTGATTTGCTGACAGGAAATCATATGATGGTTAAATTATCCTATATTCACCCACAGCCCCTCCCCGATCCCTTCTTCCATTTTCAGCTCTTCCAAGTTCCCGGTCGCTCCCCATAACTCTGAGGACTTTTTGTAATTAGTGCGCATGCGTGTTGGTGGCAAGCCCTGGATACCTCCCACACCCGAATAAGTCAAAAACATGCCTTCACATGCACATGAATAGAATTTATATACACTTTAAAGTGATTACAAATTATAAGGAGTGACTCAAATATTAAATGGGTAGAAATTATGTAGACTAGTACACACTGTCAATAAATTAAGACTGTGTTCTGTTTTTCATCCTCAATCCATTATTGCACTTGTATTTGAAACAAACAAAGCCTCATGTTTTTTTTATTCTTTCATAAATGTTTGATTTGTCTTTACATTTGCATATGGCCTTTTTTAATTATTACATGATAATTGATGTTTTTAAGTGAGGGTTTTCACTCAAACTCCCCAAAGAAAACTAACTGTGTTGTCTCTCAACCCCAACACAGGCCAGCACTGATGCTGGGAGTGCCGGAGTCCTCATCCCTCACCATGTCCGTGCACACTCATCCCCTGCTTCCTTGCAGTTAGGAGCTGTTTCTGGTGGCTCACTGTCTGGCATGGGCTCAACAGGGGCCTCTCCTCAACATCTTCGTCAGTCTTCTTATGAGATTCCTGATGACATGCCCCTACCAGATGGGTGGGAGATGGCCAAGACAGCCTCTGGCCAGAGATACTTCCTCAAGTATGTATGCTGCCATGAAGTGCATCATACAGTTTGTAAAAGTCTCTGAATGCTTGCAACCTGAAATGTTTTGAAAAATCGGTGATATTCATCTATCTTAACTTTTTATACTTATTTTATACTTATACTTAAGGGCGATCGTGGCTCAAGAGTTGGCAGTTCGTCTTGTAATCGGAAGGTTGCCGGTTCGAGCCCCGACTCAGACAGTCTCAGTCGTTGTGTCCTTGGGCAAGACATTTCACTCGTTGCCTACTGGTGGTGGTCAGAGGGCCCGGTGGCGCCAGTGTCTCACCTCTGTCAGTGCGCCCCGGGGCTGCTGTGGCTACAATGTAGCTTGCCATCACCAGTGTGTGAATGGGTGGATGACTGAATGTAGTCTAAAGTGCTTTGGGGTCCATAGGGACTAAGTAAAGCGAATACAGGCCATTTACCATTTATTTAACATTATTACATCAGATGTCAGAAAATCCCCAAAATGGAAAATTTTGTCTAATTTTATGAGAACATTTTATATTTGTGCAAGTTCTAAAAAATGTGTTTAAAATCTTTGATTGCAATTTTATACATACATATTGTTGGAATAATCTTACTGATATTTACAATATGTATATCCCTGCTTATAAAGCAGTACAATCACTGGTTCAAACTTCTTTTTTTTTTGTTGTGACAATGAAAGTTACCAAAGAATTGGTCTTGTGACAGGTCTCTATAGAGACCTCTGTACTACAAAGCAGGATTTAATCTTATCTGGGTAACTTCTGGATTAGCTCTGAAGTTTAACCCTTAACCCTAACCTGCTCCGGAACAGGTTAGGTTCCTGATTAGAGATCAGCAGGTATGAAATCACCACCTACTGACCAGGCAGTTCTTCAGAAACTGGCATCACCCTGCCTGAACAATCCCTCTGTGGGTAGAGTAGGTGGCTCTAGTTTTTCAGTAGTGTCTAAAGTCTTTGTGTTAGCTGATGAGCATCGGTGATAAATCTTGATTCATTCCCATATTTGTCAGCAACAATTTTACTCTTTGATAAGTGTTAGTCAGTAATATACGATCCTAAAACAGGACACCTATACTGCACTTTCTAACCTCATTTCAAATTTGTACATAGACTAAGCCTATATTTGAATTCTGTTGTTGTATTTAAACTTACTCTTAAATCCTTAAAAGACACAGATTGTAGCTGAGAGAATGAAAACTATAACTGTCTTATGCAAATTTGATGGGAATAGTTGATAACAACTCATCAGATTCTCCAATATCTTAATGGGATATTTTTATCTGTTAACTCAGACAAGTGGCTACACTTTAATAATAGCTTTCTAACTAAAGTGGATACAAATACTTACATCATTTATGTAACCTCTTCATATTTTTCTCATTTTAAAGTTTACTCTTTCTTTGTAAAATCAGCTACTAGTACACTAATCAATGTGATCAGATATTACCAGCACCACCTCTTTCATGTGAACTCACGTGTACCTCGATTGGGAAGTCCTGGGCTAACTTAGTGAGTTAATAACCAGCTTAGTGTGACCACTTACCCGAACGCCAGTGTTAGGGTGAGTAAATCTGGATAACGAAGGATACCCTGGGTATGCTGAACTCGCTTCGTAGTACAGGGCCCAGCTCTCAATACTACATCTCTATTCAGCATACATTATGCTGACAATGATTTTCAAATCTGTTACACAATAGTTGCCACTGTGTCCAGAAAGAGACAATTGCAATAGTTAAATTGTAGGTTATTAAATTTGGTGGGCTCAGCAAACAAGAGAAGTCTTTTGAGCAATGATTGCTGTATCTAGTGCTCCTTTTCTTGGTCTCAGGTTTCAGTAGAGACAATGGAGCACTGTAGCTACCCCAGACAGCAAAGAACAGTTCTGCAAAGCTCCTCTGCTACTCAGTAGATCTTCTTCGCATTAATCATCCATAGTAATGTAGATTTCTTGTTTGCAGGTACTGTAGAGACCTTTAGGCTTGTCACAGGATGTATCGATTACTTCTCGGGTTTTGAGGGCTTTGGTTCTTTAATACTTTTTTGTGCATTTGTTACCCTTTTTATTTCCACTGTCTGTAGCTCTGGGCAAAGATGGGTTGAATTATTCATAAAAGTGGCGTGCTTGTCAACAATTTATGTTAATGTAATCTGCTCATTGTGAAGCCTTCTAAAGTTTATGAACTCTTCAGCAGCTCTTGTTTAAAAAAAGGCTTGACACTCAAAGTCCTCATTCTTTACTCAAAGGCAAAATGTTGTCAGTTCTAGGAAATGTTACTCTCTGACGCAGAGTCTGGACAAACATGATAGCTTCAAACTTACTTGGATCCCAAAAAAAAAGAGAGCTTTCATTACCACATGTTTTAAGGTTGCACATCTGGAGAACATCTGGCCCATTTTGTGGAGGCCAAAAAAATAATGGACAGGGAATAGAGGAATCAAAACAGTACTCTGAAAGACTCGAGATCTTTATGGTTCTTTAGAGTATTTTATCCTAAAATACTGATAAAGGCAGAATAAAATATAACGTGTATAAAATTGGCAGTATAAAAGCCATAAGTTCACAAGTCAGGTGTGTTAACCGAGAGTCTTTCTGTGTATAAAAACAGTCATTTGATCTCACTGGTCGGTAATTTTTTTTTTTTTTAAATGCTAAACTATCCAATTATTCATAGATGATATAATATATACCTGTTTATATAGCGTATACCTGAGGGCCTCTTCCTTTCAACTCACATAGAGTTTGATGTTAACGGGATGTGAAACACATTTCTTTGCAGAGACTTAACTGTTTTTCCAACTGGCATGTTATACAACCAGAGTGAGTATAGTACACTGTGTTTGTGTTTGAGTACGGAAAACGCGAGGAGACATCTTCCACACAGATCAAAGAGCAGATATTTGATCTGGAATAAAAGCAGGCTTGCCAGAGCTGCTGGAAAAGACACTCCCCTATTTATAAACAGGGGCTGTCTGACCAAGATGTGTTGCAGAGAGAGTGAAGCAGAGCAAGAGTGTGCGTGTGTGTGTGTGTGTGCGCGCTAGCTATGGACTAGTGGGGGTGGGGAGTTGGTCACCAGCTAGGAAAGCAGAGAGTTGGGGGTTCACATTTCACTCTGGTTGCTTGCTGTTGTCCTTAGAGATAAATGAACCCAGGGTTGAAGTATTTTTTTTTTAAGATATTATTTGTTTATTACTGTACTGCAGGATTATGCGTAACAATAACTGGCCTCTGAGTCAGTGAGTCTCTAGATTTCGATGCCTCACTCCTTCAGGAGTCATGCTCTGTTTTGGTATGAATGGAGCTGTGACTCTGTGATGGTGCCTCTCTGTGTCAATGAAGTTAAATGGCAGCCATGTGGAGATCACTAGAAGAGGGGGCCAAAAGAAACTGTGCCCTCCCCCTTTGTCCCAGCAGCGAAACAGTGATCTTTATTCAGACGACGGGCCTGTTGAGACTCATGTGAGCCTTCCCGAAATAGACAAATGGCTGACATGAAGTTTAAAGATGGGGGTGAGAGAGTGGTGGCTTTGTTAAGACTTTAACCTTCTTCACACCTGAAGTTCTGATATTTTTTTAAAAATTTAGTTTCATTTTGGTGTAAATACTAACCAGTGATGATAAGTGACAGATTTAGCACTTTTTTTTCTCCTTTAGAGTAGCAAATGGTGTTGAAGTGATATAAATATCATTTGATAAAAGTGATGCACCTTTTAAACCAAATTTTAAAAAATGAGACATTTTGTTATAACTGTTGGTGGTGATCAATAGTCGCAGCCCTAATGGTAATCAGAGTCAAATAGGATGCCGTCTTTTTTTGTTGTTTTGGCTGTTACATAAAAACAAATACTTGGAGAACGTCAACAAAGTCTGTTGACCTTTCGTCTTTTTCACAGCAGTTTGCTGCGGCCTTTGATTTATGACAGCCAGGGCACAGAGGTTGGGTCACCTTGGTTGTTGGTGGGACGGGGGCAGGGATGGTCTCCAGGGGTGGGTCATAAACTAATGAAGGTTTCTAATTTAGACACACCGGTGAACTAGGAGGGGTAATCACTGTTTCCGGGCGCTTATTAAATGCAGCTTTGAAAGAGCTTTCAGTTCGTGGGAAGTCAGCTCAAAGCAGAGTAAAGCTCTGGAGGGGGGGAGGCTATTATCTGCCCTGAGGGGCAGGTAGATCTACGTGTTGATGGACACTTTTGTCTTTTCTCGACTGGGTTTTTTAAATGTTTTGATGAGCTTGGTTTCACATGAAAAGAGCAGACTATGTGTCTCTCTTAAGGTTTAACTCTGCAGTGGCTAAAGATGATTCATGATTAGATATGCAAGGAGATGATTATCCACTGTGAAGAACTTTAATAAATCCTTTCTTTAGTGTTATGTTTTTAAAAAACAAATTATTTTCTCAGACTTACACTGCTGCAGAGTCCCGGGTAAATCGGCTAATAATCAGCTTTTACTATACTCTGTCTGTGATTTCCTGAACATCTGTTGCTCTAAATACAAGTCAGAGATTGCCTGTTTGCACAGGAAAGATGTTTATTTAGGCCTTATGCTCTTGCTGTAGTACATTATAATAACTCTGTTATGCTGATTTTAAACTATAAGATTATATTGATAAATCAATTCCAGCAGATAACATGGTAATATTTACTGCATTTAAAACAAAAATGGCCTAGTCAAGCTTTAGGCTCTCCAACTGTCGCCATGAATTGAGCAAATAAAGCTGCAATTGCAGTGTTATGTTGTCTTTTAAACCATAGTCAGACTTTAACTACTTGACAGTTTTTCATCTAGTCATTAATACTGTAGTGATGTAATAAATTAAATAAAAACAATATCAATTCATTTTTAAATTCACTAACAAGTTTTACCTTTATAGCTTGGCTAACACTGATCTTATAGTAAATGAAATAAATGGTATATATAATTGTTTTGCGATGAGTTTAAAGTGATAAATATGCAAATTGGTTTTCATTCTAAGACGTTGTAAACTAAGACCACTTGGTCAGTCACAAATGGTGCTGGGAAGACTGGGCTGTAAGCTTGTGCAAAGCCCTCATTTGGAGCAACTTTGTGTTTGACAAACTTTTGGTTTATTGACCACACACAGACAAGAACCTTCCTGTTCAACTTTGGCCTGTCAGCTCAGTACACAAACTGGACTGTGAGAAAGTCAGACTAATGTTTACCGAAGGTTTGATGTAACACCTCTGTTTCAGACATCAATGCCTCCACTGTCACTAAGGGCATCTCCACAGAGAAGTAGTCTCTGAGAGGTGGACCTCTCAGGTGGGATTTAGAGATTTCGAAATACTCGGATAACCTTATTTTAATATTGATATATTATTTGACTAAAAGTATGCACCTATTAATAAGTTTGCAATGTTACTTGGTAAATGATTAAGAGAAGTGCTTATGCGGAGTACTTTGTCAGGCAAGTTTTGCTTAAAAAAAAAAACCCACCTATTAATCTTTAATTACGACAATCCCTAAAATTACATTCAATCTTGAAATTACTCTTAAAAAATAAACAGTGGAAAAACCGAGGAACATTCAGTCCTGGTACTTCATGAACTAGTTTCCTCATTAATACAAACCACCCTTCAAAGGGAAACTTAAAGCCACAATAGGGTCACAAAGGTTGCCCCAATAATCTCTCTTGATGATGTCCTGCTGATAGAGAGGCAGCCAGGCATCTCCAGTCAACGAGAGTGGAGGTGGTCACCCTCAACTTAGAGGCCTGATTACATCTGGCCTCCCCCAGTGCACTCTTAAGTCATTGGCTTCAACCAACTTCCAAGCACATACTCCCAGGGTGGAGCTCCTGTGGTCTGACGATCCCATTTTTAACATTTGACAACTCAGCTGTGGGAGTGCTTCATCACTGCTGCACTTCTCATAGCTTCACTCCCCTGTATTACACCAGCGAAATGCAGCACTTGACATCTGGATTTGAAGATGTGCAATTTCAGTGGAATAAACAGTCAGCCTGGACTGAAATCGAGCTTTGATCTGGTGTTTTGAAGGTGGCAGAGGTTATTTGGAGACTTTATGTTTTTTGAGTAGTAAATTCTCTACAAAGCCAGATGCAAACGGCCATAGTTTTCATGAGCATAAACAGGCAGGCTGTGTGTTTGTCATACTAGTTTATAATACTACAGTAATTCACTGCAGCTTTTGAAAAATCAAGTGGGGGAATTCAGACTTTTGCACGTAAGGGATCGTGAACCCTTTATAGCACACTCCGGAAACCTGAATCTCTTAAATCTCAGATTTTTCAGTCAGTCCTTAACGATTAGCACTTTGCATTGTATTTTTACTCCAGTTAGTCCTGAGCAGGAAACTTATAAGTCATCCCATATATCATTTCAGCAAAGTAGAGTTTTGCCTTCATGCCTCAGCAAGACATGGTCAAACATGACAACTTGAGCAAAAGATGGAAAGTAATGGATCGCATTTGAAAGACATTGTTCTTCTTGGCTGCAGTACCTGGTCATTTGCAGAAGAAATGATGTGTTATAGTTTGTCTGTGATGATTCCCAGACAAACATGAGACTTTTTTTTTTCCCCACCACCTTGTCCCGTCATCTAAACTAGGATTTGGGGTTGGAACACCAAAAGATGTTTGTGTTAACAAAAAAAAATCCCCCTTAAGGGACTTAATTTGGGGGAGGAGGATGTTGTTGTTTATGTAAACCATGTGACAGAAATAGAATCTAGCTGCTAGTTCATTGTTTATGGATTGAAACGTGTCTATACAGGTTACATTTTTTTGTGGCATGTAGACTTATTTTATTCTGTCCATTCATGTGCTTAGTGTGTAATCACACAGCAGCAGTTTGTGTGTAAAGAGTCAAAAGACGCCATTTATTTTAAGCATTCTCTTAATGTTTGGGTCGCAGCTTGAATGAGAGTTTTGAGAGCACAGTTTTACAGCTTACTTAAAAAAAATTGTAAACTTTTTTTGCACTTGTATGGATCAGGACCAACCCCAAAAATATCTTGCCCATCCCCGGGTATGCAGTAGGGGGCAGGGTACAAAGGCTGCCTTGCTGTGCTCGTTGTGGTGTCAGAAACATGTAAAGAAAACACCGAGCAGTTGTGACCGTGGGGTTGCAGATCATCAGCAATTCCTAACAGCAACTGGTGGCCTCCAGCCGTCCCAACAGTTGCCATGACATTGTTTTGTTTTATGTTTCACCTACAGGAAGCCGTGCAGCTGACCATATATGGTTGGTGGCAGGTTCAGTGAATAGATTATCTTTTAGTTTTAAAACCTGGTGATGAATTACTGACTCTTGGTAACTCATTTACCGGTTTTCTCAGTTTCTTTTCAATATTCTTTTCAGCACTATTGAACAGAAAGTCGATTTCATCACAGGCTTTTAGATCATTATTGCCTGTATTTTGAACTAAGGCTTTGTTTACAGTTGTTGTGGTTGATTTGATCAACGGAAGTTGGCAGTTCTAACTAGTCTTTGATAGAAAATTCAATATACCTTTTATCTGTGCATAACTTCAAGAATCTGATTTTAAGGTTTTAAAGTTTTATGTTCCTATCAGTGTTTTCTTTTTTTCCCCACTTTTAGCAGTTTTTTTTTTTTTGCCATTGACGTGCAAGGATGTGCAGGCCTCTCATTTACAATAAACCCTCCCTTCCCTTTTACCCTAGTGCCCGTCTCCCTGCCTCCTCCCCTGTTCTCCCCCCACCCCTCCCCACCCCCCCACCCCCCCCATAACAAATGTCATAGTTTCCAGAGTGGGGAAAAAGGCAGGAAATGGGGCAGGGCGGGCACTCAGACTGTAACAGAACCACAGCAACTCACACAGCCAATGGAATTCAGGGGATTTGCTTCTGTAGATTTTTTTTTTTTTAACTTTCACTTGTTTTTTTTCTTTTCTCCAGTTATATGCCCCTCCTCTCCCTGACCTTTCTTTCTCAAGGCCCCCCCAGTCTGAGCAGTTCCAACTATTTTGCTTGGTTTGCGGTGCTTGTGTGGGTGTGTGTGTGTATATGTGTGTGCGTGTGAGGGCTGGGGGAGGGTTCGGTAGGGGATTTGGCAGCTCCTTTGATCAATAAAGCATAAACAAGAGGGGGCTTCAAAATGGGCTGCATTGTATCGGGGGAGGAGTGCTGAGTCAGGTCCTCTCGCTCTCTGGCCTGGGATCGAGAGCAGACAGGCAGGCTGGGATTACCGCAGAGGCCAAGAGAAACTCTCTGAATCTCTCATTTCACCCAGCTGTTCCAAAATCTGTGCTAATGGCGTTTAGGGATCAAATTAACAGTGAGTTGTAAAGAAACGCAGTGGGTGGAAGGACACCATTAGAACCTGGGGTATAATGGATAGCTGTGGGTAACATTTAGGTGCATGACAAACAAACTATTTTTGCCATGTGTGTTGAAATAACTCAGTCAAGTTACATTATAAATGCAAGATTTGTGGTGATGTATGAAACAAAAACACTTGAATTTCATGCCTTTTGTATGAGATTAGTTTTTGTTTCTTTTTCAAAAAAATGGGATAGTTAAAAAAAAAAAAAAGAGAGAAAACAAGTGAATAGTGGGGTTTTAGGTCGTAGCTCAGTCTGTGCCTTTGTCAAGCAGGTGAAAGCTTTGTAAATGTGGCGCCAGATTGTTAAAGCCCCTGACACTCTGTAGTGTCCGAGCCGCTTCCAGGAAAAAAGGACCCCCTGCATTGAGCCCTGGGACTGACCCTCCCTCAATAGAGAGGGTCCTGCTCGGGAGAGGAGGGCTTCCTGTATTAGCTTTCCATCTTAATCAAGCAACAAGTACCAACAAAGCACTAATTATCAATGCCTTCACAGAATGAAACACAATGCCTCCTCCCCCAAGCCTCAGTCCTGTTCCAGCAAAGATGAGCCAGAAAATAGATGGAGCAACATTGTTTGATGTTACAATGGGTGTTTTAAAACCAATCATAGGCCGCTACACATTTTCAAGAAGCTTTCAGCCTGACTTGACTTATTTTCATTTTTTGCAGTGTGCTGCTTTTGTTTTGTCTTATTTCAAATATAATTTAATGTGTTTTTTTTTCTTTTTTCCATTGTTATTCAATACACATAGATTCAAATCATGAATGAATGAGTAGTGTAAATCTAGACTGAATCCAGGCTGGAACACACACAGTCAACATTGAGTTTCGCTTCCAGTAACAGTCATCATTTACAGAACGGGGGGGGTAGATTCAGTGTTTTTGTCCATGAGGTTGATGAAATGGGTCTGAGTCAACATTTATGTGTTGTATTGACATAGCCCTAGTTTGGCCTTACTGCTTATTAGTTGTAGGAAATCATAGATGGTCATTTCTGTGACTTATTTTTATTGGCTGTCCTATCTCCTTACAGCCACATTGATCAGACCACCACTTGGCAGGATCCGCGCAAGGCCTTGCTCCAGATGAACCAGCCTGCCCCTCCCAGTTCTGTGCCAGTCCAGCCGCAACCTATCATGAACCCAGCCAGTGGTGTGTATCTGTTGATTTTGTCAAATTTAGTTTTTATATCAGCGGCAGTGCATGAAATGCATTGTGTAATTTTCAGCAGTGAATGGCAATTATTTCAGTTCTTCCTTTGCACAACGTTCATAGTGTATTTTTTTTCAACATGCATTTTTTGTGTGTTCACATATGTAAAGCAAAACAATAAAAAAAAAGAAGAAAAAAATTATACCGAACAAGTCAGGTACAGTCTGGTTCTTACCTGTTACTACTTGGTGTACCTCAGGTCTGTCCATACAGTTGGAATTTGCCCTAGGTGAGGGAAGACTGAGGCAGAACGTTACGCGTCCTGTTTGACATGTTTGGGAACTCTGACTCAATAGCTACTTTTGCACATGCACACACTGTGTGATGTCCTTTAAAGCCATGTGAGAATATAGCAGGGAATCGGTCCACTGAAATCACAGCAAGCGAGTCCTTCCTCTCGCATGCTGTACCTGGCCGCCACCCCTCATCTAAACAAACAGCGTTTCCAGTATTAGAATGCATCTGAAGTGAACCATCTCCAATATGGAGCTACATGTCAGAAAGGCCAGTTTTGGACAAAGGCCAGATCAGAAACTGGGTAAAGATTAAAGATTACCGATCTGGTAACCCATTGTTAGTCATCTGTCAACTGTTGACAGACATGATTGTTTGATTTCAGTGGCTGATGGCAATGATTAATTCAGAGATGAAAGATTACGACCATCTCTAATTCTTCTGTCTATTTATTCCTTTTGCTTTCTATATGGGAAGTTTTTGCTTTGTTTTGGTCTCTTTGTCAGCTGACTGTAAGAAGTTTAAAAAATTCTGCCAGTCAATTAAAGCATAGATTGAACCTGTAGGATCTCTTAGACTTTGTTTGTTTTTTTTTTGCATCGTCCCTTTAGGATCCCTCCCTGACGGCTGGGAACAGGCTATTACAGCAGAGGGAGAAATTTACTACATCAATCACAAGAACAAGACCACATCCTGGCTGGACCCACGACTTGAGCCACGTTATGGTGAGTTTGCCTTGGACTGAGATTGTTAGTGTTAAAGTGTGTTGTATTGATTAAATATAGGAAAGTCATTGTTAGACACCTGAAAATATAATTAAATGTTCACACTTGAGGGAGGTGTTCCTTCTCCACTTTTGGTTCAAAGTTAATGTAACCACACCAGAGTGCTTTGGGCTATCTAGACATAGCATTGGTGGTTGAAGGCAGATTTTGTTAAAACCCCCACCCTCAAAATTCACACCTACACTTTTGTCAGCCGTTTTAGTTATGGCACAACAGCTGAGTTTGCCATTAATCCCTCGGGCCAAACTAAAGTTAGCTCTGAGTGTGTGGTGGTCAGGGTTGGTGAATTAGTGACAGAGCCAGGTACATGTGTTCGGACTACTCTGTGGCCATGGGAATAAGCTAATCCTCCCGTGTGCCAGAAAGACTTCCTGAGATGAGGGCTTATGTCACTCTGACTCATTTATTCTTCAGGTGACATGCTTTTCATCACTGAAGTGTTCCCCAGGGAACTTTACCCTGGTTCACAAAGGCAACATGTGTGAATCAGCGTGCGGCCCGCTTAAATTTAGTGTTAGTTTTTTACCGAGCATGGCCACTTAAAGGGCAATTTTTATGTAAGCAATTGTGTGTCCCTGTTCTGAAAGCAGACAGGAAAGTTCAAAACAGAGTTGTAAGGGGAGTGGGGCAGCTGGGGAGAGATGGAGGCTTTAATCGGCAAAGCTCTTTGAAGGTTTATAAGTCTTGAACACACAAGGCTGCTGGGCCCCTGAAAGCGAGAGAGGGGGAGAAAGAGTGAAAGAGACAGGCTCTTAACTCATTATGTGCCATAAACATGATTTTGTTCCTCATGGTATAACATTTTTTTTTAATAATAATTGTTAAAACGTCACATTTATACTGCTTGTATTTCTCATTTGCGGCAGTTTGTACCTTCTTAGGTTTACAAAAAATTGTAAAACTTATGAATTTTGAACTGTTTTTTTAATTCCAGTAGTTTTGTTTGTTATCATTTTTTTGTATGCATTTGCACTTTTGTACTATTTAAGTAAGCTCCTGTGCATCAGAAACCCCTATACTGCTGCTATGTAGGTCTTCAATCATAAGCCAACTGCTTTGATAATGGAGGCTAATTTGAGCTTTGAGAAGAAAAGCAGCAGAGTGCCTTTAACTGAGGGTTGTTGCCGGCTGCCTTCCCCCTGTGTGAGGCCCAGTGCAGGCACAGCCCCATTCTGCTGTAGCTCCAGACAGACTTGAATCTTTGCCAGGCCTCTTTATTCTGTGTTCCAACTCTTAATCTGTTCCAGACCTTTTCAGTCAAAGAACTCTAAAGAGGGGAGGGCATGGGAGTGGTGGAGGGGGGCAAGGCGAAAGGGGAGGAAAGAAAAACTGAGGAATAGAGAGAAAATGACGATGGGATAAACATGCATCCTGTTTAAGATCCAAAAAGGTGGTGAGCAAGCTGCGAGTCCACGGTGACGTGGGAGTTCAAAAGGGGACTGGCTAATGTGGATGTCATATCCTATATGTGTTGCTGTGGGCACATACAGGAAATGACAGCAGAAAGACCAAAAAATTCCCCTGGGACTTCAATGTTTTCATCTGAAGACTTGGCGTAATACTGTTTGAGTACTGTCAGAGTACTAAACCAGAAAAGCTGGAACCTTGTTGAAAATGTCGCTGTCATAGGGTAGTTTGGCATTTGTGATACAAACAGAATTAAGAAATGTCATGTGGAAAAAGTCAGGAGCAGCTTCTTAACTCTCAAACAGCATCCCGTGGATGGATAGTTTATGTTTGAGTTTTGCCAAACTTTGCCAAAATATTCTATGCTTTTTTTTTTGCTTTTTTTTAAATTGGTGACCATTAAATGGAATTGAGTGTACGCATTAATAGATTTCTATTAGAAGTGTCTTGATTTTCGCCTGACTTATTTTTTTCATGCCTCTCAGAGCCAAGTCGGCACAGGCTGGTTTTAGCTTACTGAGTACAAGATGATAAAACTTTGTTTGCATCACATCCAGTCTGTTTTGCCGCTTTACTTATCTTGATGCTAGAAATACAACACCTTCCCAAGATGCCTTTTTTTTTTTTTTTTTTTTTTTTAAACTTGTTAAATCGAAAGCAGGTAAATATTTACTAAGTCTTAAAAGGTGCTGAGGCCTGGTCATATAGAGAGCTTCCCACAGCTGGCACACCCTCAACTTTACCTGCCCCAGGTGATCTTGTGGTGTAATATGCCTGCCAGTGTGATTGACTGATAAGGGGTTGTGTCGCTGGCTCGTTGTCTTGCAGGAGTGCGTGAAGAAGACAAAAGGCAGACAGCATTAACTTGTCTCTTATCTGACTGGCTCACCGGCAATCACTACCTCTATGTGCTGCTTACTCAAACCACCTCTCCAAAAGTACACACACACTCTCACACACAGTCTTCTTTGCCTTGAGTGGCCTCCTTTTAAAATATCAGTCTGGCCCTGAAATGAACCTATCCTTGGCAACTATCTCGCCCACAGATGTAATTCCCTTCTTTGATATCTGCATTGCTTGTGCATAGTTCATCCAGTAACATTGGTTATTGTTGCTATTTGGTCTGCAAAAAGAGTCCTTGACTTGGTTTTGCAGCAGGAACTTTGCTCCCCTGAAGGAAACCGTTGACTTTGACTAATCACATAGTTTTGTTGAGCATAATTTACTTGGCAGAGAACTAACAAGGTTAGCAAATCTTCTGATTTTTGTAGTTTTTTGTAAAATTAGGCGAAACTACGCGATCGTTCTGCAGAATTTTTTCACCTTGTTCTGCAAATTGGCTGGAGGAGGAGGTGATTGGAAGCTGACTTCCCTTTGGCACTGTTCGTATGAATAAAAGGTTACTGTCATAAATAGAAACTGGGGTCAAAATAAAGACCCAGGTTTTGACATTAAAACTTCTCCTTTATCTTTTGGCTTTGTGTATCAGTGGATCTCTCCATATGTGTCCCATCGCTTTTACACAACTCGTCTTCAAAGCTAAGGCCTTAACAGATCTGCAGCTGCTGACATGGCCCATGCGTAGAGACTCCATCATGAGAACAGTTAATGGTGCCCCGATGGCGGAGCGCTCCAGCCACAAAAGGCTTCAGTATCTGCCAAAGATAAGAAGTAGGGAGAAGTAACAGTCTCCCACGGATTCTCTTGACGTGTGTGTGGGGGAAGCTGCCTACATGAGTCTGTGTGTGTGCGCGCGCTTGGGGTGGGGCTGCTGGGGAGACATTGCGGTCAGAGAGGGGAGGGGACGGTGGAAGGCAAGGCAAGGTGGGGCCTCCAAAGCTTCCCAGGGAGAGCCCTCAGCTATGGTTCATTCAGCCCCTGCAATAGTGTAAACAGACAGTGATTGAATGGTGATGAGAAAGGTGCCGGGGCGGGCAGGACAGAACAGAGAGGGCCAGACCCGCATGAAAGTTGCGCCCCCGCCCCATTAAAGCTTTGTTGTGATTGGCGCTTCAAGCACATAAGCAAACAGCACACCTCGTTGGCTCCTTTATTGTTGGTGCAACACATTCACGTTTACTCCACTGCAAATGTGTGACCTACTTTGCATGCATAGATTGCAGCATCGCATTGTGCTTTACACTTATGTTTATTAGACCCACCCCCACTACACTGAAGAATAACAAAGATTTCATTGGGGAACAGCTGTGTTTTCAGTACAAACACATTTGTTCTGATATTGTAAACATGTAGTCGGCTTACAAATGCTTAATGCAGTAACATTTGTTGTGTAAAAGAGCCTTTAACGTAAATTTAGAAGTGGTACTGTGTTTGCATTACCTTAGGTAGGCCTGCACTATATTAATGGGCACAGAGCAATCATATTGCGTTAAATCAGCTTAAGTGGACACATCAAGCCAGGGTAAGAAGGCAGTCAGTCTCGAGGGATAAGCGGCGATTTGTTTAGAAGGAAACAAAACGCACAATGAAAGGATAAGTCATGACTGATGCAATGTACAAAACTAACAAAGCTCGTCTTAGTCAGCGAGTGGGAGGAGATCAGGTCTTACAGGAATAGTGATTGTTTTAGATACTAGGTGGACAACTTGTGCTGGGACTTCCCTTGTCCTACACAACCTGCTGCACTGGATCCTCTTTTGCAATTTCACTATGTGGACAAATGCACAAGTTGTTGGTCTTGTTATGTAGTATTTAAATGCAGCGATCCATTAAAGAGGTGAGGTAGCAGGAAGTTTCTGAAGAGAGATGGGAAGATACTAGTCTATCTAGTCTGCTAACTAGAAATCATGTATGTTAGTTTTATTGCCAGCTTCTGAGAGCTGACATTGTTAAATTTGCATATATCTCAATATAGTAAAGTCCAAAGGATAAAGGTGTCTCATAAGCACAGCACTTAAGTTTTGCTGTCAGGTCTGAATATTCCCCCGCTTTGCCTAAAAAATATTTTGAAAGTATAATGATTGTCCTCAGTATTTCCTTTACAACAAAGCAGTTAGCAACCATTTTTTGCAAAGTTTATCCTTGTCGTTACAGCATTTGGGGTCTTTGTATTATGTGCATTTGACTGATATGTAAACAACTTTTATTTTATTTGTAGCTCTGAACCAGCAGAGAATTTCCCAGAGTGCTCCAGTGAAACAGGCCGGGCAGCTGCCTCCCAGCATCAGTGGAGTTATGGGAAGCAACAACCAGATGAGACTTCAGATGGAGAAGGAAAGACTGAGACAGAAGCAACAGGAGCTGCTTCGGCAGAGACCACAGGTCAGGAATCGGAGTTAAAGCAGCTCAAAATATTTTTAAGGCCTTTTGGACATGCCAGGGCCTCATGGAAGAACAAATGCTTTTCAGTATGTTTCCACCACGATACTGAACCTCAAACTGTTCATTTGCTGAATGAGTGCAGCAGCAAAATGTTTACACTTTAAAATGTACAGCTTTAAAATCTTGGCAGGGATAGTGGTGGATCCTAAGCCTCTTTGATCAGTCTTTATTGTTACACCACACTGCAGTGAAGTCTTGTGAGTCATCGTCCTTAATAATTATCACTTCCTAAGGTTGATGTGTCACAGTGGTGCCACCCACGCAGGGTGGAGCGGTAGTTTACTCAAGGCTGTGTCATAGTACCAGATTTGGAGCTTTATGATTATGAATGAGAGTGCTGGTGACTTTGTTTACCATGCCTCAGGTTCAGATGGGTTGTTTAAAGTTCACTGTAGGACGTGACCCGTGTGTATGCAGGCACTGGGTTATAAAGGGAAAATTATTGGAACTGTCCTTTTTAAGAGAATATGCTCTGCATGCTTATGTAGCCTGGTTACTGTTGGCTTTTAAAGAAGGAGATTATGAGAGTATGATGAGCACAAACACTTTCTTTCAGATACTTTGGACTATTAGCTATTTTAAAAGCCTTAAAATCAGAATTATGAGTTTATTTACAATTTTTGTTTTTGTTACGTGCATGACAAGTGCCCGCGAGCAAAAGTGGGACCAGACTATTTCAGTGAAGCTGCCTGATTTCACTTAGTGTCTTGTGTAGACAAACACAATTAAAATGATGGATAGAAATTCATCAGTTATGTAAAGAAACATGAGCAACTGAATTATCCAAGGCTCAGACATCCACGGCCACCAGTTAAAATGGAAAATAAAATGTGGAAAGGCACTGCAGACCAGGCAAAGATATAAAGAGGGGTTCTGTCTAGCCGCTAGATTCCAATAAACCCGAAACCCCTGTAACTCTGCTCTGTTTGGATTATGGTGGCTATCATTTATTTACAAATCTTGTAGTGCGTGTCAGGAGTACATTGCATAACGTTAGGCGTGTATGGGGAGTTCAATTTTGGAGCAAAACTTGACACAAATGGAAATGTATGCACTTATGCAATTATGTAATGAAGAATAGGTAAGTGGCTAACTTAAAACCCTTTGTAAGGTAATTAATACTACAGGAAATAAAATGAATTATTGATGTTGCATTGACTATGACTAGCTTATAGTTAGTCCTTCACTTATGCATGGCAACATAAATGTGAAAAACCGTAGAATTGCCGCAACACAATGGAGATTGCTGCAACTTCAAATGCAGATGAGCCATCAGACATGCCTTGCCGGGCGTGTGCTGCTCAGACAGCCGGTTTAGCTAGCTTTATTTTTACGTGGTTTTGATAGTGTCAGCAGGTCATTTATCACACAACTGCAACTTTTGGTTCAGCTGAAACTGTTCCAAAGTTCACTGCAACAGCTGTGTGTTTGAAGAGGTAAATTTACTTTATGCACTTATTGAAAGCGTAGGCTGCCTCACTTTTGTTTCAAGGAATGCACAGATGGCAGATATCAGCAACCTATACTGCACTACATGCTGCAGTGTCACTGAGCCAAGGTTGAAACGTAATCTTATTACTGACTACTTATACTTGATTTATTTTACTTGCTGATACCAAATACTAAGTAGAAAAAAAAAAGTATAATTAGTGCATTTCCAATAGTGTCTTTGTAGAATTTTAATGAGAGCTGAAAATGGTGACTATGGTCAGCTCTGTTCACATCCCCTTAGAAGGAAGGGGGTGAAAAAGAAAAGCATGACTTCATATCCTCAACCTTATCTGATTCCTCATGTGTAGAAAACAATTGTCTACAACTGTGGCCGGCCCCTCATGTAATATGACACCGTGCAAGGAGAGAAATGGAGACCAACATGTCTGACAGCAGACCAGTGAGGCTGTAAAAAAACGCCTCCATGAAGCTCTAGCTGTGTATAATTAGCTTTGGATGTTAGGGGTGGTGTTGACAGTGTTGCTCATGAGTTTTTGTGTCTTATTATCCGCAGGAGCTGGCTCTAAGGAACCAGCTGCCTACCAGTATGGATCAAGATGGCAGCACAAACCCTGTGTCCTCCCCTATGGCTCAAGATGCCCGGACCATGACGGCCAACAGCTCTGATCCATTCCTCAACAGGTTCGGTTTACACATAAGCCAGGCGTGTTCGGTGTGGAACAAAATAAGGAGACAATCAACCGCTACAGTCTGATTGGCACCAGCTGACTTTTGGTTCAGCCCATCAGACTTTATCCTGTTTTAGGGATCTGTGTGCAAAACTTTTTGAGCTGTGGTAGTAAAAACAGAAGGCCAAACTCTGGGCCTTAACCCTCTTCACATGGTAATGACTCATTCAGAGCAGCAGATCTGTGCCTGGAGTTCAGTGATGACCTCTGGTGTACAACTGCTGCAGTAAAGTCAGTCAGAGCTTAAATGGCGACGCAAGTTATGAAATAATACAAGACCACTCTTTTATTTTAAGAGTGAGACAGCCCCCCCACCCCCTCCAAAAAAAATAAATAAAGTGAAAATCTGCTGGTCTGAGGCTGTACAGATTTGAACAACAAAGGTACAGGAAGCTTTTTATTGTGTGAATGCTGCCCCACGGTATGCTGGGAAATAATTTCTAGTAGTTCAAGCTCTAGTTCTTCTGTGTGCACACAAAGTGAGGAAAAGAGCTGAATAGCAAGCAGGCCATGAGAACATGTGGTCCAGTCAGTAGACAGGCCAACCTAATCTCCCCTCCTCCCCCTGTTCCCTGCACTCCTCTGCGCTCACAATGGCCTCATTCATCGTGCCTCTGCCATACTCTGCCTACATATTTTTCTGCTAATTAGTATAGGCTTGTCAAATGTCCTCTCTCTCATTTTGTCTCAGTTGCCCCTTTCATTGCTGCTCTTTGCCTATGTACTGCAATATAGTGTAGATTAAAAAGGGGGAAAAAAAGTGAAGCTCACTTTCAATGGTGTCACTGCAGATTAGTCATCACGTAGCGTTTCTAGAGGGTTGAACCATTTAAATGTGCATGTATGTAAAGGGAGTTAAGGCCGCTGATTTCAACAGTTCACTTTTAAAGTAAACTATAGGCCATTAGAGTTCATTGGTAACAGAGCAGCATTTCTAACCAACATTTCATCATTTCTGCATTTCCAGCGGGACCTACCACTCCAGGGATGAGAGCACAGACAGCGGCTTGAGTATGAGCAGCTACAGTGTCCCTCGCACTCCAGATGACTTCCTGAACAGTGTGGATGAGATGGATACAGGTGAGCCACAGAGACTAATATTTTTGACCCAAGTGGAATAAAAGTGCTCAGTCAAAATAAACAGGCTGGAACCATCTCCTGCCGAGGGGTGCTTAAACATTTTCATTAACCAGTCAGATAAAGGTTTTTCAATATGAACAATTTAGCCGGATTCCTTTCTTGCCGTTTGCTTCCTGCAAATTTAGACTTGAGTCTTTTAAAAAATTGCAGCTTTTAATCTGAAAGGCTACATTTTGAATATAAGAACAAAAAAGATGTTTATTGTCCTGAAAACAGAATGTAGCCCTATTAGGGAAACGGATCATACAAAGGCCTAAGAGATGAGGAGGTGGACATAATGACATTTGTATCTGTTTCACACGTTCTGATTAAATGCGTCGATGCATGTGCACATCAAAACATATGAAATGCTTGCATCTGACTTGAATTCTTGACTCTTGATTCATTTCTGTCTGAATGGGATGGACCGCACTTCTTCTGTCGGTTTGGCTTAATGATTTGCTCACGGCTGCTGATTATTATTGTACATATTTCTGCATTCCCTTCATAACCGAATGCCTTTTTGTTCACAAGTCATTACTGAAATGATTTAAAGTGAACTATTTTAATACATTATCATAAGATATGCCAATTCATTTTGGTTAACTTACATCTAATCATACCTTCTTTTTAAACTAGCTGAAGTTGAGGTTAAAAGTTACTGGTACTGAACTGCTGTAGCCTTGAGAAACTTTTTCACACCTGTTCTGGAGCAAGTAACATCAAACAGTATCAACATTTTTTTTTCTTCCCTCTTCATCAGGGGACCCACTTGCACCCTCCATGGCAACACAGCCCAGTCGTTTCCCTGACTACCTGGATACCATTCCTGGAACAGACGTAGATCTGGGCACCCTGGAGGGGGAGAGCATGGCGGTGGAAGGTGAGGAGCTGATGCCCAGCCTGCAGGAGGCGCTGAGCTCAGACATCCTCAATGACATGGAGTCTGTGCTGGCAGCTACCAAGCTCGACAAGGAGAGTTTCCTCACATGGTTATAGAAAAGCCGAGCTGGCCACTCCTTCCTCGCTCCTCTACCTACACTCTGAACTTCTGCCTGCTCTAATCTGTGAAGGAATCATAGATGATTTTATCAGACATTTCAGCAAGCCTCTCGGGACTTCTGTGTCTGTGTCAGCATGTAAGGCCAACCTCTTTTTTTTTTTTTCCTGGCAGTATTGTTCTGTTCTCTTCACTGGTTGTGTTATCTCTGTATTTTGTCTGTGTCTTCAAGGCTGGCCTATGAACAGACAATTATGCAAGGGTCCCCAAATCTTTCACAGGCCTGTCAGTGAATCTAGGGCATATTTACCCACTGGGCAGGTGCTTCCACTCTTCTGCCCTGATCAGTTATCCCCTGGAGTCTCTGGAGCCTCTTTCTTGCAAAATAGCATGACGCATCACTACTTAACTGTATTTGGGACTTTTGCATCTAGCTAGTAGCTTTATATTTGGCCTCATGTTTTTATTCTTTTTGTTGTTGTTGTTTTGTTTTTTTCAACAAGCCTGAAAAACCAAAAATGATGTATTTGGAGCATAAAGAACAATACTGATTTGGAGTAAAGGTAACGTGAGGCCCATGTTGCTTGGGGTGGGGGTGGGAGGGGTTCGAACCTGCGGATTGACTGCACCGCTGCTTGGCTGTGCCAGCAAGTCTAAGTTAAACCTTTGATAGATCAAGTGCCTTCAGTTGTATTTTTTTTATTTTTTTTTATCTTGAGATGCGAGCGACACGAATAAATACCCACATTTCTATAATTCAGCGACAAGCACACTGCTGTTCCCGTAAACGGCAGGCATACTTCCCTCTAATGTTCAATGATCAAAATTGTATGTTTGGGGTTCCCAGCCTGATTCACAATCCATTCGTCGTTTTATCTTTTTTAGTGTTCTATTTTTAGATAACTATATATGTATGATAGTTTAGATCAAATGGCATTTTACTTTCTTTTTTTTCCTTCTTTCATACATGGATTGAATCATTTTATTTTATTTTTTTTAGACGGGGTCGTCTGTTATATCGCAGCACGACACTTCAATGAGATCAAACCAGCCAGGACTTAATCTTGGTGGTCTGATTCTGTTTGGACTCTTTTTAAACCCATTTATCTGATTCTCTCGTCTCTGCTTTACTGTATCCACTTTAATGTTATTGTATTTTTGATATTCACATGCAGCTTTTTTTTTCACTGTCTTTCCTGAACATTAACCAAAAAGGCAGGTCTCTTGGCTCAGAACAAAGTATAGCTCTTTGATCAATGAAACCTTATGACCACATACAGTATACAACAGTTACAATGTTGGAACCCCCCCGCCCCTCCCGTCTATGCGACGCTGTGTTGAGTGTTTTAAATGAAAGGTTTATAGACTGCAGCCAGGACAAGTTTTAGCAGGTTTAAGAGTCATGTCAAGGGGTAGAGTAGAGGATCAGTGTGTGACTGATGGTGGTGAGTTTTTCCTTTTGCCTGTGTTTTGTTTTTTTGTTTTGTTTTGGGGTTTTTTTTTGGGGGGGGGGGGGTGGCATAATAAAGAAACAATCAGATATCTCAGTCAGGAATTGTTGATGCAGATTCCAAAGATGTTTTTGTAATGACACTAAAAACTTGTATTTTGCTTCTATCTTTAGAGACCAGAAACGGTATGATTTGTAAATCAGCCTGTGTTTGAACAAACTGTATAAGCTAATAATGAGAACATGTTTTAAGTGTTAATGGGCACGTCTAGCTGAGAGAGTTTTTTTTCCCTCCCCTTCTGTTTGGGATGGTTGTTTCGAGTGACTAACCTTGAGATTTTTAAGGATGAGGTTTCAGAGCGGAGAAAAGAGCGATTCTTCTACAAGCACTCACATGTTTACATACTCGGCCGCAGTTGAGACAACACACTGACAATTCTCACATAATCACGTTATTTTTTGATGTTTACACAATGACTACATATTTGCATTACTGCAGTAACCTTTGAATAATCAGCCTGCTGCGTGTGCCCCTGGTTTAGGCTTTGCAGGATGTCACACTGATTCTGTTGCCAACCAATACTAAATGGGTAGCATTAACTTGATGGAATATATATATATATATATATATATATATATATATATATATATATTTTTTTTTTTTTTTAAATTCATGAGAAACCTCTTTTTAGTTTTGATTTTACTGAATATTAAGTCACGTGCTGATGGATTTTTAAGATGGATGAACAGTGTTGGTGAGAACAATGCAACTAAAATGAGTGGTACACCACAGTGCTCGTATTGCACGGCTAGTTTTCGTTTTAATGCATCAATGCATTTTGTCACACAGACCTGATTTTATGCTTAGTGTGTAATTGTCAGAGCATATTAGCTGTTGACTCTCATTGTAGCAGTAGAACTAATCACAAGTTAAAGGATTTTGTATTTAGAGTTTTCTAAATGCACATGAAATGAATTTATATTCAGTAATGATCTGTTCTTTTTTTTTTCTTTTTTTTTTTTTTTTTTGATAGAAATGTGCATGTGTTTTAGAACAAATTCTGTTACAATATATCTTTCTTCATATGATACTTTGAAATTGGCCTAAAATAAAGTATATACTTTGTGGTAATATTTCCCTGTGTCATATTCTGTTTTTTATAGTTTGTTTTAAGCATGAATTCTAATTGTATTGGACAGCAAACATTTTTCTAAAATGTTTGGTTTCAAAATAATTATTAAAGGCTCTAATTGTTAGCCCTCTAGTGGTGGAACTGTGGAACTGTTGAGAAGCGATACATCCGGTGAATGTCAAAATAAAAGTCATTGTTCATACCAGTTTAGCACCGGACTATGCACTGTGTATTTCGATTAATGAATTTGGTTTACATTATTCTACCAACTAACTTTTTTATGCAATTTACTTGACGCTTCATACCCATTTTGCTGAATCCAGTTATACATAGTGTTGCCAATTTCAAACCAATTCTTCGAAGGTGGATACTCTGAAATATATATAGAAATGCATTACTACTCCAGCTAGTGAGTTATACACACTTTAAAATAATTATTACATTTTATGTAAACCTATTATTATTATTATTATTATTATTAAAATGATTCAAACTACTACTGAAATTACTGAAAACTAAATGTTAACATTTTCAGCAACAAACAATAAATTTAACTGAAACAAGCAATTTTATCTTAGCATTCACCAGAAATTTTTTTGGGGGGCCTTTTTTATCTTATGGCTTCATTTTCGATAGGGACAGTGAAGACTGACAGAAAAGCGGAGGAAGAAGAGGGAAAGGCATGCGTCACAGGTCACGTCACGCAAACTAAACAGCGCGTTAAACCGACGCCCACCTAAAGGTTTTTGAAACTTTCAGCCTAACTTGAACAGAAGGATATGTTGATTCCCTCTTGTGTTCACAGTAGGTAACTACAACGAACACCATCAACCTCAAAACACGACAGAGCCCTGACTGCCCACGTTTAGCTCCGCCTCCAGCGGCATTATGCTGTCAGGGGTATTTGGGGGGAAAACACTAGCATTGTTACCAGGTTTAAATAAATGCTCTTATTTAAGTAACCAAATTTCCCCTTGTGGGACAATTATAGGATTATTCTATTCTATTCTATTCTATTCTTATGCTGATATGTTGTTGAACCTGTGTACTGCACACATCTGTTTTCTATATTTTATTGTATTTATAAATGTCTATATATGAAATTTTATGCAAAGATTTATAATTTTATTTTTAATATTTTATTGTATTTTTTTCACCAAATTAATAGTTTAGCTACTGAAACTCTGGAAAGATAACTCTGAAAATAGCAAGACAATGGCAAAAAAACAACAACAACAAAAATCAAAAACAAAGAATAGACTGGACCCAAAACATTAAAATATAAAGAACACAAACAATTCCTCCTAGGGAATTTGAATTAACTTTTCATTGTTGATGGTCACACGTCTTTCAAAGCAATCGGTAAAGTATACTTGGCTTACCTGACCGAGAGGCTGTGCCAGATACTGAACAGGACAGTTACATGCCAGTGCATTATCGTATCATAATACGAAAATTTGGGTCTTACATCAGGCCAAAGAGTTTAGATTAATGCATGAACCTTACACTACCTCCAATGCAAAACATCTGCGTAAACTCAAAAAAACCCCAAAATCATATGACCCCCTTGGGGGCAGTGAGAAGGAAAAACTCTCTTTTAACAGGAAGAAACTTCCGGCAGCACCAGGCTCAGAAAGGGGTGGTCATCTGCCGCAACCGGTTGGGGTGAGACTTACTTTCTGTAAGTTGTTCATTTTGAAACATTTTTTAATCATTATAATTGTTTGTGCCTTTACTTCAGACAAGACATACTGTAAACAAATTTCCAGGCTTCTCGTTTTATTTTTTAATCATGAGCGTTATTAGCTAAAATACATAACCAATATAATATCTGCTTTGTAGGGTTCAATGACATTTTGTGCAAATCATCATTACATAACAATATTACAGTCCCTCAGCAACACTCATCCGCAGGTGTAATTATCTAGAATAATGGTTGTTTCAGTTCAGGCAGTGCTGAACATTTTGTTTTAAAAGCTGATGTTTGGGGGGAAAAAATCATACAGCAATCATCACTCGCTTTCTTTTCAGTATCGCACACTTTCGCCTCACTTCTCTCAGTGTGGTACTGAGACACCTTAATAAAAAATAGTCCAGAGTAGAAGGACTATGTGTATGTATGCAGTATTTTTTCTTTCACTCTTAGATAGGATGTTCCTAATTTTGACAATTCTTAAGATGAAAGAAGGCTGTCCTCATTTGATTTATATATGACTTCCAGAATATCTTGTCTGTTTTGGGGACAAAATGAATATGCATAATACCATTTTTGTCAGCCTGAAAAAAACAGTTTAGGTTTTGTTTGTGTGTTTGATTTTGTTTCTTTGGTATTCATTCACTCTGCTGACTTGTTTCCATCCAACTTTCACTTTTGCTTTTACTTGCTGGTTAGCTTTAGGTACCAAAAGCTGCATGGACAGATTTGGGGTAGTTACAAACAAAGAAAAAGCTTCATTAGTGCCTTAAATATTTTAAGGCACTAAAAAGTATTTTGTTAAGTTTAAGCACTGTACACTACTTGTTTATTTTTATGAAAAGGTTGCCATTTGGGTTAAAGTGTGTCATTTCAACACACTAACCCTGTAAAGTGGGACATAACATCAAAGCATCCTTTAATTAAGAGTATCTACATGCGCTGATTTGGAAGTATGAGATGTAGTAAACCAAACTATTCATTATTAAATAAAGTCAACAAAAGCACAACTTGAGTCAAATAAATTTTATTAATTACATGTAATATAATGTCTACTTACTATTCCAATAATTATTAAATATAACATGAAAAAAAAAATAATGGTTACATAATTTAAACTGTAACTACCACAGATGAAACAGTTTGAACAAGAAGGAAGTAAAGGGGAAAAAATGCTTTTGCAAGCTTGCTTGTGTCTGGCAGCAAAACACTGGAAAGCTCATACCACGTGATGCTAGACTTTGAAACACAAACCAGGATGAAAAGGAAAATAATGGCAATATTTTCTTTTCACAGTGTGAATTTTGTACTTTACTCTATAAGACAGCACAGAGCACAGACCACAAAAACAGTGACTGCATAGAAAAGCAATTTCTTGGCCAATACACCAGGAAGAAATACGCAGAGTACATAGAACACAATTGATTTTCACAGTAAATACAATACAAAGCAATTCAGTATATCTGGGTAATAATAAGTCTATAAAAGTCCATTTTAATATTACTTACAAATGTAATCCTTTACACCTCTACAAGCTCTGAGCTGCGGGTCCATTTTTAGTCATTTGTGACCCAAATTCACGAGTGGCTACCAAGAATCTCATCCAAATTGATATCTTTCATCCAGTCATCATTTCCAGAGCCCGATTTGAGCAGGGAATCTATGAAGTCTGAGTCTGCATTGATTCCCGGAACTGTGTTGTCCCCCTCTGGGAGGAAGTCAAAGGTCAGACGGTTAGTTCTGTTATTATGGTAGCTGCTAGAGCTGGGACTGGGCTCTGTAAAGTTCCCTGCTGGTATCCTCGGTTCAGGTGAGGCCTGGTTAAGGTTTCCCACGGCTGAGGGAGAACCCATCATTGCCTGACTTACTCTCTGGCCTATGTCTCTTAGTGGAGGGTTTAGAGTGTGCATGCTGATGTCTGGTGCTACCTGGTTGGGAGGGGCAATGTGTCTCTGTTGGAATGGATGGTTCGGCAAGTCCTGCACACCCTGGGACTGTAGTGGGTTGGGTAGCTGCCTAATACAGAGTCCAGGTGTCACTTGCTTGTTGGCTGAACCCCAGCCCATGTTGACATTTGTCACCAACCCTCCTACACCCTGTCCTGGCACAGAGGAACGCAAGTGAGATGTCAATCTCTGGTGCTGTACACCTGCCACACTGTTTATCCCAAAAGACTTTCCTTGTGTGTTTGGGCCCTGGAACCTGGGTTTACTCGGATTCAGTCGAATTTGACTGTGACTGTTTTGCTGCTGGCATTGGCTGACACAAGAACTGGGGTGACAATCTGTCCCAATAGAAAATCTACGGTCTGATGGTGAAGCACTCATCTTTGAAGCAGAACCAACTGCAAGGTGACAAGACTGTAGGGTCTTCTCAGGGCCACTGTTAGGGCACTGGGAGGAGTTTCGACCTGCAGAAACATCAAACAAAGAAAAAAAAGTTTTTTTTATTAAGATTGTTTGTTAGCATGTAAAGCATTCCTTAATCACTAGAAATTTAAAGTACCTGGGAAGATGTTTCCCTGCTGAACTCCAGCTATACTTCTTGACTGCTTGTAATCTGGCGGTGGTCTTGTCAGGTGACGACTAAACTGATCATGTGTGTTGTCTTTGTCCTTGAAAGTAAAAACAGTATATTCATATGATTGATCAAAACAGTCTTAATTAATCAGTGAAAACGGTATGATGTAAATGCAGCTTACTGAATTGCCGATGGTGTGCTGGGGTTGGTTGAGCTGTCTTTGCATGGCCTGTGTTTTTGGAGGCCCTTTCTGCTGGTTGTTTGGGACCGGGGGTCGTGGCTGTGGCTGGGCTGACATGACTCCTAAGCTTCCATTAGTGGGAAGCCTTGGACCAGCAGGAAGACCCTTTGAAAAAGAGACAATAGGATGGTCTTACATTACTCTCAGTGAAAGCACAAAATCAAAACATTGCAACAACACAGGCGTGCCAGTAGGGGGCGAAACTCTACAAGACATCATACATCTGTTTCAAAGATGCTATTCAACCTCCAGAATGTGGTCAAGGCTACTCCCTCTGCAGATGAAAAAGGGAAAAATGGAGGGGGCTTTTTTTTCTGTTCTTTTTTTTTTGTTGGGGGAGGTGCGGGGGGTTCAAGTCATCCTCAAGGCCTGCCTCTCCCCTGATAATTGTGTCTAAAGAGAGTGGAAAGAATCCCTGAGACAGCAGGAAATGTGTGCCGATGGGAAGTTAAGCGCCAGCACCATGACTACCTCCATTTAATAAGCTCTCCCTTACTGATCACTGTGTTGTTTTTGGCAAGGAGGCATTCCATCCTCTAGAAACCCATTTGGCTCCTGACACTATCACTGATTAAAATGTTGTAGTCTGCGGCGCAGGAATTGAGAGATCCAAACTAGCTTTTTGTTTAAAGTTTTGTGCTCAGTGTATGCTTTTTTTGTTGTTGTTGCAGATAATCTTTCACCATGTGAATACCATGGTGCTTAAGATGTTACAGTCCTTCCATTTCATATTTTCTTTAGCTTTTTTAGACAGCTGTGACGACCATCCAAGCGCTCCAAATAAAACTAGCCTTTCATGTGGACACCCTCACAACACACAAGCTTGCATCAAGTGCGAACATTTGTCATGAAGGAGGTTAATGTGCACCAAATCCAAGTCAACACATACTGTGTATACAGTGTCAGTCATTGTGTTGACTTAAAATGTTTCCCAGGGTAAAATGGATTAGAAATCCAACAGTGCATTTACCAGAAGCTACTACTTAAGGACAGAGTCTTTGCAGAGAATGAATATCTACAGGGTAGTAGCTTTCTGATTTTCTGAAGAAAAAAAGGGAGAATATGTGTGTGTGTGTGTGTCTACTAGTCTTAGTGAATGATAATGAATGGACTGAAATTTGGAGAAGTAACGAGACAGGATTAGAGACTAAGGGAAGCCGAAACTCATCAGGGGTGACAAGCCACTTCACGTAAGCTAATATTCGCCTTCTCTGCCCGAGTTCAACCCACACAGCAAACCAAGCATGGCAATGAGGTTACACAGGGACTGAAACATCAAAACAGTGGTTTCTCCTCTTACAGTAGAAAGCAGAGTCACTGGTTTTGATTTACTTTATCCATTTACTGAGTCTATAAGAAAACGTGACCTTCAAAGACTTGTTCCCCACAGAGGTAAACTGAAGAGAGCTTGATCCATCTTTGTTGTAAGAAAAGACCCAATGAGGGGTGTTTTAGCGTGTACAACTGAGTAATCCTCTGTCATCCTGATGTGTCATAAAGCTGTTTTCCATGTTTTCCCCCCTTCCATTCTTCACAAGTTTTTTGTAAATGAATACCACATGTGGCTCGGGCTTGAGAGAAGGAGCGGAGTGATTTAGTCTCCCATCCTGCGGCAGCGCAGGCAGCTGACAGTGATCCAGGCCCAGCCTCGCCGGCTCTCACACTGCACTTCCTCCAGTCTGGTCTCAGGATGCTGTCCCTGGGGAGCGCCTCGGCATCTGGACTTGGCCGCAGCTCCCTTTCCCAGGAAACAAGTACTCCCTTCACAGCACTGCTGGAGTGACCTGGTAGGCTCAACCCCTACGGCCCCGCTCTTATCCTAACTGAAGGATCTGGTGCCACAAGATCGACAACAAAAGTTGAGGAGTCCTTATTTACTTTGAGTAAACCTTTATTTTTAGATGTTGCCTTAGTTTTGAGTTCTACTCAATGTTTGCCGTTACTAGACAGTTGTGTAGTAGTAGTGATAAAACAGAAAGGAAATGTGTTAGACGGGTTATGACATCCAGCTCAGGTCTGCAGCCAGATTATGTGGCATGCACTGTGAGCATTCGGCTACTTTGGCGACTGGGTTCATGCATTTCAATAAGGACAGTATTCTCCAGAAAGTTTGTGTGTCGTATTAAAATAGGAATTGGTATGGGATGATGAAATCGCTGTCAAATGTCTTCATTTGATCTGATGCAGAGAAAATACGGATGTCGCTTTGGATAAGACTGTCTGACAAATATTTGTAATGCATGTGTACACAACTGAATTTGAAATAAAAAAAAATGTAAACATAGGTCATTATATTGCTATAAAGATATTTAATATGGAAAAATATTCAGTAACTATTTGACTTGAGTCATTAAGGAACTAAAAAGCTTAACTTTCACTAACATAGTTTGTGCTAGAAAACCATTTTTCTTTGTTTCCCTGAAAGGTCTTTCTGGAAGCGAAAACTCCATACAGAGCTTTTTTCTTTTTATTGAAGCAGTACTTTTTCCACTGCTGCAATATTTCAGAAATTAAAAATAATAAACACCGGGATTGCCTCATTCTTTATTAGCACTCATATTACACCCCAAAGTATTTTTTCTTTAGCCAAAACACACAAGACAGCTACACAACTGGTGAAACTAGCAACACAAAATTTTGTCCTTGAGACAGCATTGCCACCAACCACAGTAACTCAGGTTTCATAATGCATTAGTGTCCTCTAGTGCATGCTGCTCCAGAATGTACTCGTATGAGTACTTTAAGTGGGTGAAGCAAATATTGTGCAACCTCAGAGGTTTACACAGTGGTGGATTTGAATTTCGTCAGGTTTGATTCAGAAACTGATTATTAGTAAGAAGCTTCAAACATGTTTGGACGTGCATGCTTTAATAACGGTCTCCAGCTTCAGGCAGTGGAAGGAAGCCCACTGCTAGTTACTTGTGTTACACAGGGGATCAGGGCACTCTTTCAGGACCTTTATTTCTCTGGCATTACTAATTCAGTTCACTGTGGGAAGAGACTCCACTCTTTTTCTCCTCTCTATAAGCTGTCCCTCTCTCATTAGCTGGACTTTTAACCCTGTACATGCTGGCTAAAATTTACAAACACCATTATCAGCACTTTTTAGCTCAGCTTGAAATTATAAATAGTGTCCATAAATTATAAAGGTCTTTTTTGTAATCCTCAATTCTAACCCTATCATATTCATAGCTACGTGCTGGTTATTTGGTCACATTAAAAAAAAGAATCTCTTTGGGAAAGCTGTCTCACCAAGCCCTTAACCCCTCACAAACTTTTAAAAAGAGGTTTTACTTTAAGGAGCTCTGAAATAATGTTTAATAATTCAACAAATTCACAAGTCTTTTTCATTATTTGATATCCAGCTCTGTTAAGTGTCTTCCCCTTTTCTCTCACTGCAATCCTTTTTAAATTAGATACCACATCTTACATATTTTATAAAAAGTGCTTATAATCGCTAATGCAACACTAATACTACTGTCACTATTACGGCAGCCAGTACATTTGCTTGAAATGATCCATTGTGTTTATGAAAAAAGATTTGAAATATTGTGAAATGGGGTGAATCTGAGCCCAGAAAATGCTTTTTTTCTTTGTCTATTTAAATCATCTACCAATCTTTAAGCCCGTGTATTTCTGCCTCAAACATTTATGTAAGGCTTCTGATATCAGGAATATTTGTCAAGTAGTTTCAAGGTAACCATGAACAGCCACTGTTTAAAGTGTAAATAGCTCTAGCAGTGGTAAAACTGGTCCCGTTTTGATGTGTTGATGTAACTGTCATGATCCTACCTGGTTTACTTCCATGTCTGCATAACTCCCTCCCTCTCTCCTTCTTCCCACCCTCTCCCAGTCACCCAAGCACTTCCCTTGATCTGTAGAGGTTACGAGAGCTCTGTTGCGGGGCTCGCATTATCGTTTCACACAAAGGCAGCTACAGATATTGTTGGTGCAAAAAATGAAAGAGGGGAGGGTCTAAATCTCTCCAATCATAACAAATCAGTGATTCAACCTCCGGCACTAGGCTAAGCAGATTACTGTCATTTTCCACCACTTGTCCCTTGTAGCTAACAACCTCCAATTAGCAAATCCCGCTGTGCATATCTGTGCCCTGACAGGGAGCCACCATGACAAGCAGAGAAATTAGAAGTCCTGCATGATAATCTACCATGCTCTGGCAATCTGTGTCATCGTCAAACGCACACACACAGACATTAGCAAGAACAATAAAGTCGCAGAATAAACAGAGCTGCATTGTAGCTGTTTTAGACAGCAGGTTGGCTGCTGCAAGCAAACTGAAGATGCCAGCAGGACAACTAAATCAGTACGTTTGATTGTGCTTTGGATTATGTTACTAGACTTTCTACAGAAAAAAAGGCAGTCGGTGCTGTTATTGACTTTGTTCATAAAGTGCAGTAAAATAGAAAAATGAAACATTCTGTGGATCAAACAGAATGTTAAGTAGCCATACTGGTCTCAGTATCTTATGGCACTAGCTATGCCGCTATGGGCACATGTTATATCAAATCTCTTAATTGTGGAAGCTGTCCTTGCTGTAGAGCTGAAAAGTTAAAATAGTGTTTTCACATAAGGGCAATCGTGTGTAAAGGAATTTTGGACAGAGACCTTACCTGCCGCTGCTGTGACGGTCTGAAAGGCAGCCCTCCGTGAGCAGTCTTGGTTTGCAGACAAAGGGCTCCTGATGTGGGGATTTGTTGGTTCTGGAAATGAAGACCTGAATGTGGCTGATGTGGGCCCGGTGAAGGTGACTGTTGCTGCTGTTCTGTCTTGTTCACTGGGTTTGTCATGATAGACATGGGCTGGCTGGCAGAATGGGGTACTTTGGGGCTGAAATGCAATGTAGGCTTGGTGCTGAGAACCTTCATGTCCAAATGATTGGAGCCATTGTGGCTGGTTGATTTGAAGAGACAGTTGTTGATCCCTTTATTGTGAGAGCCAATCCTCTGCTGGTTGAGTGGGAGTGGGCTAGAGACATTGTCTTGAGGGAAGGTGCTGGTGGAGGAGTGGGTGCTCATGGAAGGAGCCCAGCTGGTCAGGGCCACAGGTGCGGTTTGGTGGTGGTGATGGAGAAGAGAATTCGGTTGCTGCTGGTTTGCTGCCATCTGCTTTAGCTGCTCTGCGTGAGATATTTCAGGCCAACAGGGCATCCTTGGGTGTCCTGCCTGAGTGTTTGCTTTTTGCGATGTGGTGGTTGAAGACGTGCTGGTCAATGTGAAAGTGGGCCCTGCAGAAGCGGGTCGAAGCTGTGGTGAGCCACAATGAGCCTGCCCAAAATCAGGTGAGTGCTCTGTCTTTATCGGCTTCTCCAGTGGAGAGCACAGACTGGCAGCTGCTCCCGCCGAGCTTGGCCGTCCTAGATCCAAGCCAAATGTATCATCCTGCTTTAGCATCTTTTCAAACTCCAGGTCATTCAGTGTAGGCACCGTCTTTGTCAGTTCATCAAAGAGATCCTGGAGTTCTGGATCAATCTGACCTTCATCTTTGAAGTCAAACATCATCTCTGCATTTGACTGGTCACAAGACTGGATCTCAGAGGGCTCTTTCTTCATTTCTTTCAGGGTCATGTTGAATATGTCTGACCCCAGTGCATGAGGCATCATGTAATTCTTCCTCTGCATGCTCATGGCTGAGGTGCCTTGCAGAGAATGGGACTGGGCTAAGTTGTGGTCCACACGGACCCGCTTAAAGTCTGATCCAGGGAAACCACAGGAGAGGCCATTTTGCTTTGATATTTGTCCTGGGGCATGCCCCTCAATCTTCCTTCGCAAAGATCCATGAATCTGCAAAAAACAACATATAGAAGTTAAACCCAGAAAAAAAATATCAAAGGCTTTTAACATTTACCTTTTTATCACCAGGTAAGCAACCCCCTCCCCTCAAAAATAACCCCAGCAGGTATGCAGTTCAGATAAACCCAGAGTTCAATTATTGTACTTAATGGAAAATATGTCATGTGAGAGAATGTAAAGCAGTTCTGAAAATGAATACACTACACAGACGTGAAGTGACACCATGTATTCAAGACTAATTTCACACATATTAATTAACAAATGCTAATCTTAAAGTTAAAAAAAGCAGTGATTTCTCAAACGGTTCATTCTGGCATCAATCACAAATTAGGGTAAGACTATGCACGTTCAGATTGGGCAAAATTTGAATACACAGTTTTATTTAAACTCTTCCAATACAGCAAGAAGGAACTGGAAAAATGTTTTGATATAATGTAGCCTGAGCGCATTGAATGGGATGAGAAGATAGTTAGGAATCTGATATAGTCGACAGACTGCAGAGAGAAGAATAAGCTCTTTGTCTGTTTCCCTCATTTGCATACATTATATTTTCATCCATTGTGCTTCGTTAGATATACAGAGTTTCTCCTTTGTGGCTGAGATTCTGCTTAACATGCTGGTGCAGATATCTGATTTCCTTTTGTCCTCTACCCATGTCTTCATTTAAGGTAATAAGAACAGAGATGGAACTAACTAAGCACACAGCAACACTCTTAACATCCTAACTGTGAATTTTACTATTCCAAAAATGAGTCATATTTTTAGGAGAAGATATCATCATGTCAACAAAACAATACAATCTCCAATATGAGTCTTTAACAACAGTGAGAAAGGCTGTCTATTAAGAAGCGATCTGTTGTGTAAATGCATTCATACAAATGGCTGATTATCTGACCATATTTTAATGCGACTCCTGCATGGAAACAAAATGGTTTTAATTGTACACCAGCCTGATCATAGGAGGAGTATCAGTGTGTTGCATATTTCACTGTGGAACAAATTTGACTCATTTCCACTAGCTGGCATTAAGATGATTCATAGCTTGAGGCTTTGGAGCGAATCCTGCAGTTCACTACATTTCTACTCTGTTCATGTCATATTATTTCTACTAATGCTCTTAACAACAGTTCATGTTAATCAAGGTACAAATATCTCTGACTCACCAAGCCTGTAAATGCTAATACATGTCCATGCGTGCTTCGACACAGTAACTGGATGATGACAATAATGCTGATGCACTTAAAAGCAGAGGGACATTGTTTTGTTTAATCACACTGACTTTGCATTTAACTTTATCTCGCTAATACAAACCATATTTTTAAAACCACAACTGCAAAACAAAGATATCCAGGAGAAAATTCAACATGCAAGCAGCAGACCCTTACTTTTGCTCCATTTTATGAGTATGAATCCACTCAAAAAAAAAAAAAAAAAAAAAAAAAAAAAAAAAACTACGGTCAGTTTTCATTCTCTTGGATGTTTGCCTCCTATTGTGCAAAATAATGTATGTTGAGAATTTGCACTTTCAAGGTGCTTATAAAAATCTGTTTTTTTCTTAATCTAAGCTCATCCAACAGCCCCAACAGGGCTTGCATGTGCAACATTTGCCACATTATCTTGAAATCTGCATTAAGGATTGTTTCAATAGTAGAAAAAGAGTAGTATTTAAAAAATGTTCTCGACAGGGACAAATAAGTAAACAAAGTAGGCTGGTAAGTGAAACGTAATGTACGTTTTATTGGTTTGCATCTAAAACCAAAACAAATAATAATAATAATAATAATAATAATAATAATAATAATAATAATAATTACATAATAATAGTAATTAAGATAATAATTTAAAAAGTAATGAAACAAAATAAAATGCAACCCAATACCAAACAAAAAGAGAGGCAATAATTTAAACATGCTTTGCTAGATAAAGTAACCTCAGCAGACAGTTTCTTAGAGTCTAGAGAAGAAAAAAACCTCTTATCTTAATGGCAGTCTGGCTGCTTGATTCCTGCTTAATACAGGGAACTCTGGAGTTGCATATAATTTTACACTGGAAATGCTCCATGAGTTAATCAGCCATATGAACTTTTTCCATCTTCAATGAGAGCCGCATAATCTACGACATGTGATTTTCTCCAAAACCAGATGAGAACAGGCTTTTTTTTATTGTGTGCACCTCAGGTACATGTTCTCTCATTCCACAGGGCTCTTTCTGGAAAAGACAGACAGGAGTACTCCTCATGGTTCAAGGCACTGTCAGTGAAAACACATCATGAATAATGGAAAGGACAGTGCATGTGTTGCAAAAAGCCACTGTGAGAGAGGGTTGCCTCATTTCTGTTTCTGTGCCATTTAAAAAAAAAAAAAAAAAAAATAGCCAGGAGTAGTGTTCAGTTCAAACTTCAAGGATGAAGTGTCTCAAGACTTTGCAGTTGAGATTTTCTCATTCTTCAGTCACTCATATGTGTCACGATACTGGCTTCAATTGGGACAAACCCCAACGTCAAGCGCAAACACTTCACAGCAAAAAAAGGACCATCCTGCTCACTCAACTCTCAGTACTCGGATGCAGTGGCCTCACAGCTGACCTGAAATCCTCATGACTGATCTCCTAGTGATCTCAAAATAGATTTTTTGATTAACATTTAATGAGCTCAGATGCTCTGAATCACTTTGAAAGAGATTCCTTCTGCATGAGCGGCTTAAACCTATATATTATATACTGATCATCTAAGAGAGGCACGCGCAACTGCACCGTTGATTTTCTGTGTTGAGAAAACGTTCAGCCACTGTCAGGCCCAAGGTTTAGCACAGTGTGTACACCAGGATTTTATTTTTTTTCAAAAATGGATTAGTACAAGCTGGAAAATCAAATTAAAAGTTCTCACAGATATAGTAAACCGAAAAAGAACCCAATACGGCACAGTGCAGAGCCGCTGATCCAAGCTTGGAGACAATTTTCCAAAAAATGATTTTCCTGAGGAAATTAAGAACGATAAGTTCAGTTTTGAACATATTCCGGTTCACGTTTGTTGATGATCTTTGACTGTGTCAGTGAGGAACCTGACCTTGGCCATGTCAACAGAGCCTATCTGTTCATGTGAGCTGGAAGGCTGTTGGCTTGTGTGTCAAGCTGAGCACTGCAGTGATGCTGAGCAGTGTGGATGGGGCTCCGGGTGAGCCATCACAACGGCGCAACACCAAGCCTCATGGTACCATCTGTCAGTCCAGAGGCACAGCCCTCTGAGCCATACATGCTTTAAGGGTATAGGTTTTAGAGTGTTTGCAGGTTTTGTGTCTGCGCATGTGTGAGTAAGAGAGTGTGGCTCAATGAGAGATTGAGCTTGCCAGCCTTTAATCTATTCACCAGAGCCTTGAAACATGTTGCAATCTGCTCCTGAGAGAGCTAGAGACCTCCCTCTCGGCATTTGACATGGAAAAAAACAGTCCCAAAATAAAGGAATAAATACGACTATTGTGTTCCTAGGGAGACATAATATTTATGCAGTTCAGCAGGTTGCATACTGTTGCAAGAGGGGATTTCAGCTCATTTATTGCCAGATAAGAAATAAGAACCTTCAGACCAGTGCCAATGATCAGCTGTCACACAAAATTCATCTGCAGGCCCAAATGTGGAAGGTTCCGTCGAATTATAAAATTTGAACTAGCTGAAGGAAGCTGCAAGCTATGATAGTGTAGCCAAAAAACATCCATGATAACTTGAACATTTTCATTATTTTAAGGCTCAGACTTGGTATTTATATTCACAAGGCAGTATATAGGCAAATCATACTGTGTGTGTGTGTGTGTGTGTGTGTGTGTGTGTGTGTGTGTGTGTGTGTGTGTGTGTGTGTGTGTGTGTGTGTGTGTGGTCATCGAAGCGGTGGGGGGGATCCTTGTTTGTTTTACTCAGCACATTTCAGTGAGTAGCGAGGTAAGCAGAGTGTATTTGATACTATGCAACAAAACAAAGAAAAAAAATCTCCAGGATAACAGTGATGTCATAGCAACCACTAGAAAACATACTCAATCACTACCGACAATTTTGCACTTCAATTTAAATTTAAAGAGCCATCTTTGGCTTTCACACAATACAAACATTTCATTGAACAATAGGATTTGCATAGAAGTAAGAATAAGAGGAATTTAACTTTAGTAGACGCAATAATAAGTCTTTTTATTATAATTCAGGTATTCTGCTTTTGTTAGATAGTTACATTGAATTGAATTCATATACCGTAAGGTTACACAGGAATGTGAGCACAGGTTCATGGTGTGCCTCCCTAATCAGGCTGGTGTGTGTTGGGACGAAGCAGCACACTGCAGAGGTGGGCTACTTTTGGCTCCTCAGCACTTTGCATCCCCATACTTCCTGACACAGTTGTATTAGATTGAGGATGCCCTCCAGAGAGCAGGCAGGAGAGAAGGATGAGCAGCGGCAGCAGCAGGAGGAATAAAAGAGGCAGCTTTGTGGCAGCCTCTGGGAAATGGGAAGAGATGATAAGAGCTCCTTTGAAGAGAAATCATCCATTATGTTTACTGAGGGCAAACTTTTTTTTTTAAAACAGTTACTGTATCTCAGTTCCAGCATTCCGCAGAGAAACTTGCTATTTTAATCAAAAGCAGCTTGAACACTAAAAATCCTGTTAGACATTTACCTTCCAAAGAAGAGCTCCCCACTGTCCAAATCTGAAGATTACAGGGAAAGATTATAGCTAGTCCTTGCTTTGGCATGTTCACAATCCAGAAATATTTAATGCGATATCACCAAAGTTAAAGGACAGGAGAACATTCTCCAAAAACATGCAAGGACATCATAAGAACTCATATAAGCCAAGCAATGCAGCTCTCTTTTCTATTACCAGGCACCCTATGTAATGAAATGCAAAACTCTGGATCACAATATATAAAAGGTCTTTTAGTAAATCTACCATTTGTATTGATCTAAAAATACTAATTATTCTTCCCCAGGGCAGTAGTTTCAATGGCCTATAT